TGTCCTGTATTTTGTACTGTTAATAGAAAGAAAGTTTTTAATTTAAATATATATTTTTATGAAAACCGAATATAAGAAAAAATCGTTATGAATAAATATTAATTACATGTAACAATAATTTAATAACAAAAATAAAATAAAATCAACCAATATTTTTCATATGACGTAGGTATCGTGTTTTCTCACCATCAAATAAAACCGAACAATTTTCATACATTCATTCATGTATATGTTAAATATTAATGAAAACTTCTTCTAAGATTAATAAATGTAATACAATACTAATATTTGTGTACATTTCTGTCATTAATAAAGTCATTTCAACGGGCCACGAGCGTGAGACATTACTGAATACTATTGCTTACAAGCTTCATGCCGAGACAACTTACATCGTCAATAACTGTCTCCTTATAGCTGTTTGTATTCAAAATATTATTTGTTTTGACGAATTTTGATTTAATTCATATATAGAGACTGCTTTTGCGTTATTTTTATTGATAAAGTGTATGTATTTGAACATATATAAACTTCTTTTTTGAATGCAATTAGAACGATATAAATTCTGTTTTTAAATTTACGAAAAATGTAAGAAAAGGCAAAATTGTTGAGAATTTATATGAGAATAAAATAAATGTAAGGTAATACATGAATGTATAATGGAAGGTGTAAGACTGTATGCAAACTAATTAACAAAGAAACATCAAAGCGTTGTCGGCGATGTGATTCTATGCTTTGATTATACCGAGTTCGTCCCATTCGCTATTTTCAACCTGCCACTCTATGTAGACATGCAGGGCTGCTGAATATGGAAAATACATGCATACGACAATTTAATGCTTGGTTTTATATACTATTTTTCATATAAAACCAATGTAAAAATAACTAATTACATATTAAAATTCAATTAAAGTAAACATTAACATAAAGGTACGTAAAATAGTGCCAATATATAAATCTGTCTAAATTAAATTTAAACGAACATTTAAAACACAGACTAATATATACACAGACATAACATAGATATATTTATTTTTATTTTACTTAAATACATTTAAAATTCAAGCGAGCGTCCCTGTATTTGCTGAGGTAACCCTATTATGGTCTGCCACGAGCCGTCGGTTTCCCTGTGCAATAATTACAGACGACCAGTTGCTAAACTATTTAGGGCAACCGACGCACACTCGGCTACATTTTATTATGTCAACCAAAAGCCCTTTGTGTTTTAATTAGGTTTGACGTGTCTGCACTCTACTTTATCTGTATTTTCGTTCGAAATTTGAACTGACTGTAATTCTTTCATTTCGAAATTGTGTGAAAGTATTGGTTTGTTTTCTTCGTTAGTTTCTAGATTGTTCTGTTCTAACGAGATTGTGAATAACAACTTTATTTTCATAATATATAGTAATCAAGTAATTTTCAAGCTATGTGAAGCCATTCAAGAACTCCGTTAAATTTTACTGGCATTATTATGTGGTTGGCATGATGGCCATGCTAAATGGTTATCACTGCGTGTTCCGAATTGTAATAGATTCATTGTCTTGTGCCGGAATGTGTCTATATGTCACACTAAAGGGTTCACGACCCCTGCCGCTTAATGGCGTGCCCACACAGATAATAAAATTAATTTCAACTGTATAAATTAATTCTAATTTTAAATTTATCATCAATATAAACCAGTGAGAAAAGAGATTGAGTTTTTATATCAAAGAATGCTAGTAGGTATATTAGATGTTTATTTTCCTGGAATAGATGAAATTCGTGGCACGTTTTTCACAGGACGTGTTGGTAAGTCACTTCGATGGCATGTCAGCCAACCCCCCAATTGTCTAAATGCTAATAGACCACCTCTTGATACAGCGGAACACTTTTTATTTGTCAATGACGAACGGTTGTTGCGTCTTGAATAATAAGCGATTATGAGAAAACTTTGACGCATCAGTAGATCCGATACTATAAATGATTTGGTATAAATATAGAGGTGGTACTTCATTTGGCGTTTATTTGTTGTGTTCGACAAATAAGACCATGTGTGGAGGATTTATTCGTCTTCATTTGACATATTTGCACAAATAAGACGCATTCATAAATAAGCGAAAACATGCCAAGTGTGGATGTCGTGTTTGCGCTATTTGGACTACGTACAAATATCTGGACAAATGCGAGTACGCAATGCCAAGCGCAGTGCCACCTTAAGAAAGATTCATATACTTTATAGCTTCCTTTTCACTAGATAATATGTTATGTTAGTATAGTTTTAATACAAATAATACAGGCCAAGAATGTTATGAGAATCAACTGTTTATGTATTACACAATGCTGTTTTTATGATTGTATCCACATGTATATGTCTGAGACATGTGGTGTAGGTCTATTCACACGTATTCGTACGGAATACAGATTTGCTATGTGTAAACAAATCGAAAAATATATTCGGAATTATAGAACTACCCACCTAAATACCATTTATATAAGTCTAGAAAACCCATTAAATATCTTTATTTTTAATAAAAAAATTATATAATTTTTATTCATTCTTTTATGATAATCTATGTAGCTTTAAGATTTTCCTCAACCGAATTAAGATTATGAGATAAAAAGATAAAAATGTCAACAATCATCCCTCTCGTTTTAGAGAAAAAAATAACGTACAAAAACCAAAAGATAACAAGAGATAAGAGCTTTGATAAATGAGCATCACATAAATTAGTTTCAATGGCGTTAAAATATTTTTAATATGGGAATATTTTTTTTCATCTTTATAATTAATTATATGAAATATAACACAATATTTTAAATTTGTAAAGTACTAAATATTGACGTATGTATTATTTTTTGTTTTTATTATATATATATTTTTTACTAACATAGTTTTTCTAAGTAATTATATTGTACTAACCAACTATGAGCCATGTCGCTTGAAAATAAAAGATTTTTATTTTTATTTTATTTTTTTATTATATGTTTGAAATGACGAATTATACTGCGTGGGGTAATGTCATATATATTTTTTTATACAAGCCATACAATATGTTAAATTAATATCGTAATTCGACCATTAAGAATGGATCGCGTGGGTTGATTTGGTGTTAGCACAACTGATTTGTATACAATGTACATTGTTCGTTGAAGACTAATCGACGGTTTATGATAAACATACTCTTGTTTTGATGTCCTTTACTTATTATACATCACACGTATTTAATTTGAATTACTTAATAAACATCTAGTTTCCTGTATACAAGTTTTTTTATCTATCGTGTTGAAATTAATTATGAGAGAGAAATGATTTTGTCATTCATACATTGTGATAACCTTATTAACTCAAGCGATAGTAAAACATCTACCAAGTTACATTATGACGTGATTTTATCATATAGTAATAGACACTGACGCATTTCAAGAGGATACGTACAATGTGTATTGAATAATGATGTTGCATTACTTATTTTACTCACGGGATGTTTGTTTTGCGATTAGTTTAACTTCTTATAAATATATAAAAACAAATTAAACTGTAATTCTAAAGATAAATACACTTTTTACTTTTAAGACGCTTCACAGCGCTTTTTTTTAAAACTACCGTTTAGATGAAGACAAAGGACTAAAAGCAATACAGCCAATATGACTTAAATATAATTTCGTTCTATTAATCTAATTTGGAAATATTTTTAAACGGAAATAATAATGCTAAATAATTTCTCATAACATAAAAATAAAAAGTCATGTCACCTAATATAATATTAGAAAACACGTGGGCGTCAGAAGATCATTACGTTAAACTGTTTAGCGTTTTTTTTTTGTATTCTGTTTTGTATGTTATGCCAATAAATATTTTTTTGACGAATGATACTCTTTATTTATTTAAATGGTCTATATTTTAAAATGATTTATTCTGAAATAAGCAATAAACTTCAAGTAAATTTGTTTATTATTCCTGTAATTTTAGGTTAATTTTAACCATAAGTATTTAATTTAAATTTTAGTGTTTTTAATGTTTAATATTATTATATTCTGTAACAAACTTATTCTCATCTAATTAATTACACTTGACATCTCATAAGTTGCCAGTTACAAAAAAAGAAACTTTCGTCCATAATTAAATACAAACTAAACTAAGAACATGTTACATATTAAAAATAGTGTAATTAGATATTTGGTTGGTGGCATGCGGTAGAGGTTCGTCAATTAATAACATTATCCCTAATGTACGGTAATAAAGATCGGACATGTGTTTATTTAGATGTACTCTCAACGCTTGGTTTTATTACAACATCTAAGACGCGTGATTTATGGGGTGCGGACTGTTTGAGTTAACGATTGCTGTATGAAATGTTTTTAAAATGAATGACATTATGTTTGTTTATTTCATACAATGGACTCTTTAGTTTATTTTATTTATTTGATAATCCAACAGTTTTTATACACGAGTTTCTATATTAATTATTACATAACATAAAATTAAAACCAAAATAGGATTACACAGGTACATATCTTAAACATATTAATAATTAGAAGACAAAAGTAAAAGTAGCATAAAAGTAAAACTTATATGTAGTATAAAAGTCATATAAAGGTACGGGTGGGAATCCAATAGGTTTATTCGGTACTTTAGACTACTGACTTAAACATTGTCCTATTTATTTGTTTAACTTTGAGTTTCAAAAGTATAAATTTGTCTTTGAAAATTGTTACAATTTAGATACATATAATAATGAGCTCTGCGTAATATGAAATAAGATTTAAAATAGCATATTAGTGGTTATGTTATAGAATATAATTTCTATATATTGTTTTTACTTACACCTCTAAACCCGGATCCTGTTCTCGTCACGCTATCATTCTAATTACTCAAATTTGCTTAAATATGTAATTGTATTGACCTTGAATTTATTAAATTTACTCCAATTAATTGTTTTCGTATACACGTGATGTAATAGAAATTAAAATATTAGTGTTTATCACAAATATATGTAGTTTAATAATAATGTTTTGTTTTTAAGATGTCGTTAGTGGAGATGGCTTCTGATTCTGCAATGCGGGAGGAGAGAATAGAAAACATTTACAAGTTCTGCGCTCCTCATTTGGTATGCTATACAAATAAAATCGTTACACATATTGTAAATTTCATAATTATGAACATTTTTATCATTAACTTCTCCATGTGAGAAGAGGCCTTTGCTCAGCAGTGGGCTCTGATAATCTCATGATTATCATTAACTCGATCGTACATGTAATTCTTTTTACTCGTCCTAAGGACAAATTGATTTTACTCTACACTTAGTATTCACGTTATAGTAAATCATTAAACGAGTAATATGATATCAGCATTCAGTTAACGGTGGCATTTATACCAAAATCTTCCTTTGCCGTCGTCAATAAACCGCCTATCGCTTTGTATTGTAATTGGGAAGGTCCTCAATATTGGATTACTTAAGTGTCGTATTACCTATAAATAATAGACAGAGAAATCTTTTAAACAAAGCACTATAATACATCTCAACTATACACACGTGGTTTTCCTTTACAGATAGAATTCTGGATATGCATGAATCAGACAATACAAGGTAAGATGCTTAATAATATAGATTATGACGTCATTATTTTAGTATGGATAGTATTGGTAAGTTAAATTAATGTTTTCAGAGGTGGTATCAGGTTCTGGTTGGTGGGGACGCGCGTGCTGTGCTTTAGGTCACTCGGCGAAGTGTCGTAGAGCTTGCGCCACGGCCTCTGACGCGAGTGCTCTGACCGAACCGTGTAGAAGATCGGATGAAATAAACTTCTTTGACTGCGTACAGAAGCAGCAAGAGGGACAGTGGTGCTGCTGTGAGTTAGAAGGCTAATTTTCTTCAAATACACTCAAAGATCTGCTTAAAATAGTTCCGATAGCTACCTTATATTGCATGTCAAAGTTGTAAGATCTCGTAATATCTTTTTGATATCATTATATTATCAGGCGCCTGTCCTATATTACAAATACAGTAAATGTAGCAATTTCGCTGAAATAAAATATGTTCTGTGAACGTAAAAATGGGTGTGCGACGTGCGTAGCCACTTACTAGAAGGTAGAGCGCCTGTTAGTTTCGTCTTCTACCTGGCAATTTCCCAGCTATGGCCAGGGTCTGCCTGAGAGCGCCTGTTAGTTTATCATTCTATAATTTTCACTATAAATATAAACTAAAAAGGGAGTTAAAATCATATATATATATAACCTTTATAACCATCCAAAATGATTTGTTAAAGACGTTTAACAAGCTAAGTTGGAACAATCTCGTTATTTATGACATTCTACAGCTCAAACACGTTCAATAAGTTGTCATGAAGCGTGTCAGAAGGCGGTGTGGAGGGTCGGTCAGACGAGGGCTGACAGCGGCGCGAGGGAGAAGGCGGCTGAACTGTGCGAACAGTCACCAGCGTTGCTGCACTGTTTCCGAGATCTGACAGCATCTACTGTCCATACTGACACTTCTAAATGTAAGATGATATAAAGATTCGTTATATTTTTGTCTTCTCGTCATCAGCCTATCGGAGCCCACTGCTGAGCAAAGGCCTCTTTCTCACAACGAGAAAATTTGCGCATTAATCACCACGCTTGCTCAAGACGGGTTGATGATTTCCAACTTATAATTGTGAAACTATAAGTCCAGATTTCCTCACGATGTTTTCCTTCACCGCATGTCAGTGGTGTCTAAATACTCTCAGAAAGTACATATGTCTCCGAAAAATCACATTGGTACTTGCCAGGCTTGAACCCGCGCTCTCGGCAACGAGAGGCGGGCCCCTTAACCACTATTCCACCACTGACTTTGTCTCCTCAATTATTAATAACTTACGTGAGCTTATTTTTGTAAACATTTTGTTGATTTTTAACCAGTCATTTTTCTCGTTTTAGATTTACCATGCTGCCATGAATCTCCAAGTCAAGAGTGTCGCAGTACTTGTGAAACAGTGTTGAGAAGAACTGGGGAGTCACAGGAAATAGCGGAGGCGTTGTCTCAAGAATGTGGCGCTCCCGCTATCCATGATGGCATGTGGCAATGCTTCCTTAGAAAAGACGCGCCTCCAGAAACCAAAGACGTTATTCCACATGATGTAGCGAAACTGCATTGCTGTCAGAAGGTAAGTCCTCTAATTTTGATCCTTACTTGAGAAAAAACATGCATATCACTAAATAAAACTCTTTCTGTTTCCAGGGCGCTACGATTAATTGTAGAAGACTATGTTTTTATACATTTAACAACGGCTGGCATTTGAATTGGCAGAAATTCTATTCTGAATGCCTCGGAGATCCACAAGAAACTGAAATGGCGGAATGCATAGAAGAAGGTATCATAACTTTTCTTATGTAAACTACTTTTAAATTTCTTCGAAAATTTACAAAGAAGATTCCACATCTTCAAGTATAGAAAATTACTGATTTCCTCCTAAAGTGCTTAAACGGAATCCATCAAAATAATTGGAATATTGTACGTTTTAGTACAAATTAATACCAATAAAGTACCTAATACAACGTGAAACTATTTCTCAATTTCCATCCTTTAATAACCTTCTCCATAATCATCGTAAACCTCATATTCTTCCACAGTGGAAGCTCCATGTTCGTTGGGCTGTTCCGGTCTCACGTACTGTAGTCAACTCAACAATCGTCCGACCAGTTTATTCCGGTCTTGCTCATCTCAGGCTGATTTAGACGCACATTTGGCCGTCGCCGAGCAAAAAGCTAGTGGGTCAGTCGCTATTTCGTAACTTTTGGTATCGATTTTCATTTGTTTTTTGACTAATATATAATTTTCTTAGGGATGTCACTGTGGCGGGTTTACGATTACCTTTGAAGAACTCTTCCCAGTGTACTACAGATATTTGGAAGAGCGTCGCTTGTGCTCTTCATGTGAAGCCCTGTACAGTGAAGGTATTTTAAATTGAAGTTTTCACGACCATTTAATGTTGACCTACATATAAGAGTATTTTAAGGATATTTCCGATTTTGAATCTTCCAATGTAATTTTAATGATAGTGTAACTTTTGGTAGGCAAAATGTCTATGGACATATACGTATTACGCAATTATTTTTGTGCCTTACATTTCTTTAGATTTAAAGTTTCTTTTTCTTTTTTGCACCAACATTTTGTTAGAATATATATTTTATATAATAGTTATTTATAAAGGTAATTTTGTAATATATGTATTTGTAATTAAAAACGTGAGATCATAGATCGGGGTTTTTTCACATTATTTTAAAATGTTCCAACAAATGTTAATTACAATGAGAAAAGTAACGGTAAAAATTAAAATAAGTATAATGGCTGATTAAAAAAATGTTGAAAGACAAAAAAAAAAATAGAACAGAAACGTATTTCCCATATATGTAAAGTTATTTTAATAGTAAAACAAAATGTAAAAAAATTACGAGCAATTTTGTTATATTATAAAAGGTGTGAACATTTTTCATTTAAGTCTATATTCCATTATATATCCACCTTCTTACATAATTCTTACACTGTAATGGAACCAGATAGGTGCCTTGTGGTACTCTAGATGTTGCCAGAAGTTTGTTTCAATCGAAAACCCTGAAATAACTTTAATATTTTTTGTTATAGATAGCTAGCTAGAAAGCTCTTTGAAAGTTTAACAGTACTCCTTCCATTGAATTTACAGATACGTAGAACATTTTAAATACTTACTCGAGATTATGTACTTAATATAAACGTTTTTTAATACTGTCTACTTTTAATTTCATATTCACAAAAATAATAAAGGGTGAACAAAACCGCGTGGACCTTACCTTGTTTTCACTTTTACTAGGGAAGCTAATGTTCAATATATTTACGCCACATTTAAAATAGCAATTTTTCTAATGTATAAAGTATTTTTTTGCCCTAAACTTATATATGGATGCTAAGTACTCCTGCTCTTTAATGTCTGAAAACTTTTCGAACCGCAGTCACTTACGGTAAATTATTATGTTGTGTAAACAAACCGGAAACATTAATATGGACAAATTTTTGCGGTTTTTAGAGATCTTTCTTTCTCATTTCATTACGTCACCAATCCGTGAATCACATAACAATGAAAACGAATACGAAAGAAAGATTCATTGCAAGTCACTTCCTTGATCGTCCATCCGATTTGTCACAACAATTGAATGTATTAAGCAATAAACTTATTGTATGAAAGTGAATTTCTAGGACTTTCGTGAGTATTCAATTAAATGAAACTAATATTTTCAAATTACTACACGTTATTTTATTATTTTTAATCACATACACCCGACGTTTCGGTTACATTGACTTAACCACGGGCAGACGAGATGATTTCCAGACATTCCCATCTCGTCTGCAATCCGATAAAATTAGTTTCATTTATAAGTGGCTCTCTTTATGGTATACTAGCTGCGCCCTGCGAGGTTACCCGCGGATTTCCGAGATTTCCGGGATGTAAAGTAGCCTATGTGTTATTCCTGGACGTCAGCTTGCTGTGTACAAAATTTTATCAAAATCGGTTCAGCCGTTTGAGCGTGAAGAAGTAACAAACATACACACACACACTCACAAACTTTCGCAATTATAATATTAGTAGGATGTATATATGTTATTATGTCAGGCCGGTTGGATGGCTCGTAAAAAGAGTTTCATTGCGACATAAAAAAAAAGAATGTATATATGTTTATCTATATTTCTTATGTAAATTTTCCTTTTCTTTTATTCTCTTATTGATTTTGTACTAACCACTACAGATTAAATAAAACTTGGTGTGACGAATGTTAACAATGTTATATGTCTAAGTTAGTAATGTTCTCAAATAAGTGACTAAGTATGTATTGTCTTGTTAAGAATAAAGATCTTTAAACCTATGTATGTATATGTCACACCAGGGTCACAGTAGCTTGTTGTGTGCGGAGGAGTGTCGTCGCCTTGTGTCTTCTTGTGTGGAGTGGTCGCGAGCTCCTCTATCAGCCGCCGCGCTCTGTGCTAGACTAGCCCCAGCCCGGCCCGACGCTCCATGTGTGTCACTGGCCGAATTCCTTACACCCAGTTAGTATTGACGGTATCGTTGTATCAGAATAATAAGACCATTTTGTTTCACTCACTATCATTACTACGAAAGGGAAAATTTGATTATTATCATACTTAATTTTATTAATCTTTTATCCAATATCAAAAATAGAGTATTTGTAAATATACGTGGAGCAGTATGTTATGGTCCATATCAAATTCACTAGATACCAGTGATGTCCTTTGTAAATGTTTTTTGCAGTAACCATAAAGTATCTTAACATATTATACACATATGGCCCTAAAAATTATTTCTATATGATCTATTTATCTCCATTCTAGGTCCCGAGCCTCCTTTACTCTCAGCTACGGAAATGGTGACTTCCCCATGCGCTGGTTCTCCATGTAACAGCTCTCAAGTGTGTGTCATCAATAGAAGTTGTGTTCGAGGCGGGTCCTGCTCCAAATATACATGCATTGACGGGTGTCCGTTAGGTATGATTTTTTTTAAATTTTAACTAGGTTTTGCCCGCGACTTCGTCCGCATCGGATTCAAAATGGTTTTCAGAGACAACCTAATAAATTATACAACAGAATTTCCTAATTGAGATAACAGTTATGGTCTCAGGCTATAGTTTGTGTCTGGGGAATTCACACAAAATATACTTTTAATAAAGTATTATTTACCCAACCTCATGCATATTTTATTATTATTAAATTTTTATCACGCTGATGTTTAAACTGCATATAGAATCATTGATGAATAAATATCGTTCACTAATTTTTACTTGTAAGAGCAACAAACATCATATATTTCGTATTAAATATACGAATAGAACCTATAATAGCAAGCTGTGGTCTCCTGTAATTGAAAGAGCACAAATTTCTCTAATATTTAGTATTGATTAGTCTAAAATTGTATACTGTGTATCTTTTGTTGGGGATCCTCAAATAAATAAATAAATATATTGGTATATAGTTCAAAGGAACTTTCTCTCCAGGTGACGGTAGTCCATATATAGTTCCCGTTGGTTCTTGGGTGAGGGTGCCCATGCCGTGTGCTGCACAGAAGGTCTGCATCAAGATCTGTCGCTGTGGTCACAAGGGTCTGTCAGACTGTCAGCCGCTACCTAGCGTCGCTCTTGATAATTGTAGATTACATGATAAAGTTGTCAAGCATGGTAAGGATTTGGGTCAATGTAAACAAAATATATTTCCTACTAGCTTTTCGTCCCCGTGGAGTTCGGTTATATCGCGTTTCCAAGAGAACCTTTCAAAAGTCTGGGATAAAAACTATCCTATGTTCTTTCTCAAGGTCAACTCTATGTCTGTACCAAATTTCATTAGAATCAGTTTGGTTAAACAGTTTAATAGAGATATACCTAATGATTCCTCAGTTATAAAATTCTAAGGAATGATTTTGCATACATTTGGTTTGAAATCAATATTTTATTTACCACCTTTTGCTATTACTTCCGAAAATTTTTGTTGATATTTTAATAATTATGGATTACAAATAATGATTATATTTTTCTAATTGATACACTGACACGGATGCAAGCACACACACATCTACACATAGGAACACGCACACACACAAACAAGCGCTATAGTACAATGACGTCATAGCGTCATATATTCTCTTCAGGAGACAATACACTGACACGAATGAACACACACACATTCATATATCATAATTCAATTATGTACATACAAACACGTACGCACACATTCAAGTACTTATATAGTGACGTCACGTCTTCATATATTCTCTTCAGGTGACAAGTACTACATGGAGTGTAACCCGTGTGTGTGTGTGTCTGGTGAGCGTGTGTGTGCTCGTCGCGCGTGTGGCCGCGCGGCGCTGCTCACGGGTCTGCCTTGTAACTGTCCGCCGCACCACCTGCCCGTACGGTCACCGGGAAGACTGTACCCTAACGCCTGCTTGGCCAAGTATGTTGAGGTTTTTGGTTAGTTAGAGATATTCTTAGTAAGTTAGTAGTTAGAGATATTGAATAGTTAGAGGAAATACTCACATAAATCATCGTCTTAGATACGCTTCACAATGAAAGATTGCTTTAGTTTACACTGTAATTTAAATAATCTCCTCAAAATAGGTACGAGTTATTATGTCGGAATAATAAACATATGAAATATTCTATCTTTATTTTATAATAAAAATAATTGAATGATGACATTTTTTTACACTCGACGGAGATAAAAAAAAGGAGACATTAAGAAAGACTGCACCATCATTGAATAATCAGATATAGTACAAGCGACTTTAGTCTACTTCTTTTTAATTCGTTTTGTATTAAAAAAAGTGGTTGCTAATTAAACTATCGATCCAAACGTTTTTTAATATTTTCAAACACCTATAGATGCGCGGGCGCAACGGACGCTGAGATCGAATTCGGTTCGGGCGGTGTTTGTTCTGGCGGCGAATGTTCGCGGCTCGCGTGTCTGCCCGCGCGCTCCGTGTGCCTCTCACGGCTACAGACTGCGTGTCCGCAACATGTGTGTGGTGAGTTAAGACACCTATATGATACTATACTAACTTGACGAAATTTGATTTGATTATAAATTCAATGTGTTTCCTTCGAACTTATATAAAAAAGATTTATTGTTCATGCCTTTGGCTTTCGATGGAGGTAATGTTCTAAAATTCCTCTTAAAATAATACTTAACATTAATTTCTATGCAGCCACAGCATAGAAAAATTGTTTTCTGTTCAGTTCCTATCAAATCAGTGTTTTGATGGTTAATTATTATCTCCAGTGAGTACAACCAACTGCCACACCCAGCAACCGTCACCAGTGTGTGACACAGACGGACATACACACACCAACCCGTGCCAGCTCATCATGAGTGGGCGCAGGTTTGCATACTGGGGACAATGTTTACAGGGATGTTCATCGGTAATTACAATTATTCATTCTATTAATTATCCGACAAACGTATCAGAATACATATTTATAGTATTTTTTCACAGAGCGGAACAGTTTGTGGAGTCAATGGCATCACGTATAGCTCTGAATGCGCCGCGTGGTCGGAATACGTCAGTGTGGACTATAAAGGAGCTTGCTTTGCTGTGGGTCCTATATCAGATCTAATGGAACCAAAATGCCAATTCGACAGAATAATTTGTCCTCCGTTGAAGAAGCCCGATTGTCTAGGATATACCGCCCCTGGAGCGTGTTGTCCGAAATGCGGTGGAGCTTTAAGAATATTATATTCCAAAAAACAAATCGATAGAGCGCTTTATGGGACCAATATATCGGCTTCCGTTATAAACCTGCACAATGTTTTATCAGCGCTGGACAGACATGTCAAAGTAGCTGAATGCGCTTTAAGGGGTTATCTGACCATCGAAATGGAGATTTTCGTTACCATCGAATCAGTATTGAAGAATCCGACCGACTTGCAGTTGAACGTCTGTGTTTTGGAAGCTGAAAAACTTGCTGATCTCATAAATAGGGAGAGTGCTCTTATATCTAGTGATTTAGGACTAAGTGCTTTGTCGTACGCCTTGATAGTACACACACATCCATCACAAGGTGCGGCTGTTGTGAGTTTATCATTATCTATAATATTATCATATACAGTAATATTTGTTCTAAGGTAGATTTAGGTTTATAGTTCTGTACATAGTATTACTTAGCTGTTTGTAAATAGTTACTGTATATATGAAACGTTGTTTACCAAATATATTAGTTATGGTATTCTATGCTTTGGTCTGCTTTACCTCAGGCACGTCGTTGTTGTATTGATATGTGAGTTATGTGCCATTTAGTATATACTTATGTATTATTGGAATATTGTATGAGTACATTCGATAGACTGATAAGAAATTAAAAGACAATGTACCGAGTAGTCTTCGTACCAAAAAATATTGACCATTTATTTTGTTTTGTTGGCGTACGTTTGTATGGAGGAGTTTGAAATATATTTATATATATATGTAATGAAATAAAACGAACGATCATGATACAGTCATTTTATTTGCGCACAACACCGATCTGAGAATATAATTTTAATGTGACGTTTACAATATCACTATTAATTGATCACTTATTCCTATATTCGAGTAAGTCTTTTTTATCGAAAAATATGTTGATTCTATCGAGTAGCTGGGGCTCACTCACTGACTTCGCCAGTTGTGTGAAACCAGTCTGAAGTACAGGATACACTAGTTGAAACCGTTCCAATGGAAATGTGAGTACTAGCTCTAGATATGCCATTATAATGTTTTGGAAACAATTCCGTTGCACCTCCATATCCTGAAAATTGTGATAAGAACATTAACACAAAATCATGAGAATGCTAAAACGACATCATTAATTACTACTCCTTATATCAAAAATAGTTAATCCTACTAATATTATAATTGTGAAAGTTTGTGAGTGTGTGTGTATGTTTGTTGCTTCTTCACGCTCAAACGGCTGAACCGATTTTGATAAAATTTTGTATACAGGAAGCTGACGTTCAGGAATAGCACATAGGCTACTTTACATCCCGGAAATCTCGGAAAACCGCGGGTAACACCGCGGGGCGCAGCTAGTAGTATATATATAAGTAAAAAAATAAAAAAAGTAATTGACACGATCATTATTTATAACTGGGACTATCAAAAATAAGCGATTATGATTCGAGTCACTATGAGCGTCAAATATATGGAATGTTTAATTCAGAATCTTTCGAGCTTGAAATATCTTTTATATTAATAATATATATTTAATACCTTGTTAATGCTGAGAGTTCTTTGTTGTTCTATCTCTGGTGGCACCGGCTGAGGTGGAATTAAAGGTTCAATGTTTTTGTTCTTATCGAAGGCCGTTTCATCACATATGGATATGTTCACTTTTCTTTCTATATTATCAGACGCACAGCGTCGTTTCGGTTTGACCGGGGTCACATTGCTCTGATATTCAACTGATTTTCGTATATTTTTCGTTTCGTTTGATTTTTCGTTTGACTTTTTATTTTCATCATTCACTTCATCGCTAGTATTTTCTTCGTTTGTTATGTTTTCTTTGTTCGTTGTTTCGTCATCGTAATGTGTTATTGTATTCGTTTTAAAATCAGCGAATGTGAATGGTTTTGGTTTCTCAGTATCTTCGTTCGCTTCTAATGTTACATTTCCATTTTCTATTGCCGCTGTACATATTATTCTGTTGGGTTCTTGAGTGTAGTAATTTTCGTAATTATTATTACTAGATGAATCTGTGTCTTCTGAACTGTATGAGAAACGATCTTTAGCTTGATCGCACTCCTCAAAGTCAGTAATATTTACGAGGTGTTTAACGTAATTCCCGCAAAGCAGTTCCCAAGTGGCTTTTAAGTCAAAGATTTTTGTCACAAACTGGTCATATTCCAGTGTCATGTTTAACGTTGTTTTGTAATTATTTAGGATTATCGACACGTCCGTGGACTTCATTTTAAATTTTATAACGCCACTAAAAAATATTTCAGTCAGGGCTATAATCTTTATAAGCCATGAAGACGATGTCTGTTTGTATAAATTGGCTGCGTAGTCCAAGTTTGATACTTTCTGCACGAGAAATTTTAATCCTGGTCTGGAGTCAAACTGCATGGCTCGAGTGTAAGATAATTCAAGACTTTTGAGTAAAAGATCAACATTGTTCTGGTTTAAGAAAAACTTGTAATTACATATATTCGTACCGGTTCTGAAACTTTCGAGTAGTATACTGTTTATTCCATAGAAGACATCGGAAGAAGCCTGTATTAAAACCGTAGCAATAATCTGAACTAAAATTTGGTGAGCGAGCAGTCCCACAATCAATCCTCTATTCGTGATCCTTACTGTGTATAAATCGGGATTCAATGATTTCATAGATTCTTGTAAATAGATGAGGAAAATGTAGCTTCTGTCGTCAATTAAATTTTGTGCTGAATTTTTAGACGTCTGCTTGCTATGATTGTCATGACCTCTCAGATGCTCAGTTAAGAAAACTTGTTGAGCCATAGCATGGAGGCGTACGTTATCATTGATCGAGCAATCCCTTCTAGCAGCCACTTTAACAATTGCCAAGTCTCCGTAAAAACTATTCGAATTTTCTTTAAATGCATATGTCAGTTGCTTCAACGGGCTCAAGCTTACGTTGCAAGCTCTATGAAGACTCGTGCATACTATCTCCCACTGTTTATCAGTTAGAAGGTGTCCAGACGTTAATATTATATGTCTTATACAGGATGCTCCCAAACGCGCTATCGGTTCTTGAGGTTGTGAAATACACTCAACTAATACAAGCATGATTTGCTTTAGAGCAAATGTCGCCTCTGGACTTTCAATGGGTTCAATATTTTTAGCATCTTTTTTATCTTCCGCTGTTGCTCTTTCTATATTAATATGTTGCAGTTCGTGAAGATAAAACACAATAGTGTCCGTTGTCATGCCACAGCACTGTTTAAAGTTTGGCATTACACTGTCCCAATGTGTGTTAACGTTAGCTATTTGTCGCAACCAAGTTTGTACAGTGGGCAGCAATAAATGGTTGATGCAATGCAACCCAAAGTGCGTTCCTGGTACTTCAGCTATGTTTTTCAATAATTTAAATAATGTTTCCATAGCTGCTGGTTGATTTTTCTTAGAACAGACCACTGTAGCTGATATTAATCCTTCAATGAGAACGTACCATACTTTTAAAATATTACTTGGTTTGTCTAATTTTAGAAGACAATTATTTGTTGTGTTCGAAGGTGGTAAGGTCGTTGACAGTTTTCTGTATGACATCAGTTCTTCTTCACAATTTTCGTTAACGATATATTTGGTTACATCTATAGATGTACTAGGAATTATAGGATCGACTACTGATAGGGGCAAATCACCTTTAACTCTACTGCCTGTATTGAATATGGGACATTTGGGCATGTTGTACATCATAGTTAAGATATCTGCGCAACTTTCTAAGTGATATAACGCCTCTCTGCACATATCCACAATAACCTTCTCGGATTTTTCTTCACTGAGCGGTATAAATTTACTATTTTTTGAAAACTTAAGATTTAGACTAGGTTTTGGCTGTGGCGGAGTAGTGACTTTCTTTGGTTTCGGTTCAGTTGGTTGAGTTTCATCATAATGCAGACCCTTTATGTGACTTAAAAGGCAAAGAATGCAGTCTAGAGCCGCATTCGCGAATACGAGTGTGTTGTCAGTATTCAGAAACACTTTAAATATTTCAAGAATAGCAGAGTACTGGTTGGAATTATTAGCCGCTCGTAGTGTATTGAACAAGGGTCGCCAACCCGATCTAATTTCCATGCGATTTGTCTCAACGAATTCACAAATGCAAGATATTATTTGTTCCTGAAAAACAATGTGTATAAGATAGATTAATACTAATAGAAAGTTGAATATATCATTGCTGGATGAAAAAATGTTATACCTGAATATCGTCATCACAGAGTTCTAAGCAGAGTAAATTTTCAAAAGGTTTTAGTAAAGCTTCGTTGAAATGGAAGTGCGGTAGTTCAACTTGCTGATTGAGCAGAGCTGTGGCACAGTCGTGTAAACATTGAATAGCCAGGCTTGATATTTGTATGTCTTTATGGCAGGCAGCCTGTGAATGAAACTCTTATTATAAAATGTAATAATCATGCTTTAGAAACATATATTCAGTCTCTATACACAGTATTTATTCATTATGATTAATTATTTTCTCTTTTTGGGGCTAAGGATATATGAAAAGTAAAGTCATTAAATGTAAAAAAAAACAGGTTTTCACATACAATATTATATACAACTTGAACGTAAAACCTATTAGAAGTAACATTCTTAATAAATACATATTCATTATGACAATTATTTTCTCTTTTTGGGGATAAGGTTATATGAAGAGTTAAGTCGATCAATGTAAAAAAAAAACAAGTTTTTACGTACAATGTCATACAACTTGAACGTAACACCTAATTAAAGTAACATTCTTAATAAATACATCACTAATCTTCGCCTACCTGCATAAAATGTGGCCCAACGACAGTCCATATAGCCATTCTGTGAGCAAGAGGTCTAGCTGCTCGAAGACATCTCAATGCTACATCCCCCGCCCTACATACAGCTCGAGCAGCCTCCCCGCCCAATACTTTAACACGCGACTTACGCCACCAAACAGGGTTTGTGCTTACATCCTGATCCCACGAAGAAAATAACTATACGAACGACGTATTACATTAGTAGGGATATTAATTTGCATGTGTCAGAAAGCGTTATTGTTAATGTTTAATTTTATTTACCAACAATTGTTTACACCAATACAATGTAAAATGGGTATATATAATTTAGGGTACAGTGTAACAATTACTTAAAGGTAAACTCCGCATGCACACTTTAAATAAGTCTACTTTTAAATCAACTGGATTGCTTTTATTTTGTGGGCTGTAGATTCGAATCTTGGTAGAGCAGATGATTGTTTTCTATTTCAATGTTAATTTGTGGAGAAAGAAAACTATTAGCTATAACTTATGTGAAAAATTTGACGATGTATTATGTGTATTCAAATAAAGTCACTGAAACCTAGTTTATATTGCAGTATATTTGTTAAAGCTCTAATTATAACGGCTTTTAGCAATGATAGATTCTATTATTATTATACATATATTTATTTATGTCTAACCTACCAGTCTATGGTTGTGTGCGACGAGTCTCTGTAGCGCTGCCTTGAGCGCAGGCAGCGTAGTGGTGGCAGCAAGACGAGAGAACAGCGCGTCTGTAGCAGCAGACAGCGCGCAACACACACGGGCAGCGTTTGAACCGCTGATAACGTTGCCTCCCTTTAGGAAACACAAGTTTTTCATATACGATATAAATAAGATATCGTGATGTCCCTACTAAGATTGTAATAATTAATGATTAATACAATAAAATTATATAGAACAATATATAAGTATTTTCTTATCCTCATATACATTTTCTATTAAATATTGTTGTTGACACTGGACCAGGTTCGGCATAAATCCCTTGTTTAAATTGTGGGTAAGAAAAAGCATTTTTTTTTATTTTCGTTCTTTTTTTTGTAAAATATGAATATATCTTGTCAGCTTAACAACACGGTGTAAGTAAGTAATTATAAAATGTTAATATTAACAATGTCACCACCAAGAAACTATTCTAATATTATATTAAAACCTGAAAGCCTATATTTTAATATTATTTCTAAGTTTCCTCTCAACCTTACCTCTTGTCTGCACGTCTCAACAATTTTCGCGACCGACATTTCGTTGTTTGAATTGTTTTCTAATACTGGTTGTAGGAAATTGAAAACGTCCACACTGAAATTGAAATTGCTGAGATGAAGTGGAATTTCCATTTAAAGTTGAGTTATATCCTACTAATATTATAATTGCGAAAGTTTGTGAGTGTGTGTGTATGTTTGTTACTTCTTCACGCTCAAACGGCTAAACCGATTTTGATAAAACTTTGTATACAGCAAGCTGACGTCCAGGAATAAAATATAGGCTACTTTACATCCCGAAAATCCGCGGGTAACACCGCGGGGCGCAGCTAGTATATAAAATAAAACTTGATTTACCAGGTTTCATCGTCTCTTCCATCTAGAACTAACTTAGCGTCGGCCTGTAGTATAGATATAGTTTTATTTCTTCCAGTCTGCATCGTTATTATTGGCGTTGCATTATTTCCTTGCTGGCCAAAAAGTGAATGTTCGAAACTTGATACGTATTGACACGCAACGAATATATGTTCCCAACACTCTGCAGCTTTTGAACCCAATTCCAAACCACCTAGGATATTAAAAAGAAATAAAATATTAAACTAATAATTAGTCAGTGATGGCCTAGTGGTTAAAAGGCCCGTCTCTCATCCAGGGCGCGGGTTCGATCCTGGCAGGTACCAATGTGATTTTTACGAGTCATATATACTTTCTAAGTGTTTAGACATCACTGATTAATGCATTTCCAAAGAGGGTTGATGTCAGGCAGGCGGCCGGTCGTAAAAACAATTAGCCAAAACTATTCACAACATGTAAGGCAGACCCTGGCTAAAGCTGGGAAATTGCCAGGTAGAAGAAGATAATAATCTCTATTTTAATTTCGTAATGGATATTGTTTGTTAAATTTTACCTGAAATCAATATATCTAAAGACAATGCGTGTGTTGCTAATATTTTTCCGTTGGCCGGTTGTGAAGTAGCAGAGTTCGCTAACAGAGCCAATATACTGCTACATCTATTTTGTAAGCTTAACGTCGTACTTATTCTTGCTGCCTACAAATTAATAATAAACATTTATTATAAAATATTACCTTTTTCATAGTTTTTTGTGATATATTTTACCTTATGCAATCCCTCCAAGCATTGTATAGTCAGTCCCTCCCAGGCAATTCTCTTTCTTTTACCAAAATTATTAATTTTCTTGGATATAATACCTCGCAGTTTGTGTTTCTTATTTCTATATCCAGTTAACGGCACACTTAGTACAGTTACCATTGAGTCCCATATACATGTTAATATTCTAAAAATATTGGAAAAAATGAAAATATATGTAATAAAATATATTCTATTGAATTTTTTTTGGATTTTTTCATTATACCTCCTCGCCCATCGTAAGCTGGCCTGATATTGTGGTGAATCATCACTATCTTTATAGATCATAGAAACCTCTTTTAATTTTTGCCAGTCTGACATCACAGGATTCTGATCTAGACCTCCTAAATCTGAAACAAAATTTATACATTTTTTTAAATGTTTTTTATATAATTGTATGTCGTTTCCGACGCTCATTTATTACCTAAAAATATAAAGATATAATGTTTTCTAAGCTAGAAGACCGTGATTTTGTAAAAACGAAAAAATTTTTTTTTTCACCTTATTACGTGATTTAAAATGGAGTCAAAGCAATTAATAGAATCTCGTTAATGAAACACACGTAATGGCGGTTCAACGACTAAATTTAATTACAGATAAGTCACATACACACAAGTCATCATAGATGTTGACATTATAAATACATATACATACATTATTTTGATAGTAATCCTAACACTAGTATCAATCAAAATGTACTTTGTGTTTAAAAAATGTCCGAATTTTTACCTGATAGTAAATGTATGAGCGGATGGTCGGCACTAGTGACGTCTTTGAGTAAGTCAGTCGCTAGAACTTGCTGGTAAAGTTCCCTCAGCCAGGTCGCTGATAAATATACAAGTACTCCGCTACCCTGGACTTCATCTACGAATTCATCCTCGATAAGTGGCACTTGGACCTTCTGGGAATATGGAAAATATAGTTACTATATATATATATTGCGGGTAGAAATACAGGAAAAAAAAAGGAAAATTTTATCTATGTAATTTACAAGACCAATAAAAATCAGTTAGATGGTATACACTAACATTTACTAATACTTTTTTTGGAGAAATGTACATTAAATAGTTTTTGCATTCGTCTATCCAAATGACTTAAACTGAACGAACTTTTTTTGTTTGTATTTGTATTGTTTGTTTTACTATTATTGTTAATTCTTGTCATTTTTAACTTTAATTTACTAACAATTAATTATTTATTTGTAAGCTTGTCATCTCCAACTTTATATTTGCAAGGGGTATTCACCATAATAGGTAATGCATTTAGTTTTAAGTTGTATAAAAATTGTATACCTTTGTATGTATTGATGTATTTACCACTGCTGAATCTTAAATATGTAAATAATAAAAAAAAACTTTCATCATCAGAAAAAAAAGTTGTATGATTTTCCTTAAACAAAATTATCGTGATCTTGTTTTTTGCCAATATTATAGGCCTATAACAAATAGTAAGTTATCTCACATGTCCATCGTTATAGTATCTCGCCCGTCGTTGCCTGAGCGTCAACAGTAGCGCGGCGTATGTGGCCAGGTATACGCCGTCCGCGTTCATAACACACGCGGTGGCGGGCGGTTGCGACGCGTTGTGAGCGCAACACTTCCAAGCGAAGTCCTGCATCGATTCGTCGACCTAACACATAGTATGTTAAATAATATAAAATTTAAATAAAACACACAGTCAGTGGTGGCCTAGTGGTCAAAGGGCCCGCCTCTCGTTGCAGAGGGCGCGGGTTCAAACCAGGCAAGTACCAATGTGATTTTTCGGAGTCATATGTATTTTCTGAGAGTATTTAGACATCACTGACGGTGAAGAAAACATCGTGAGGAAACCTGGACTTATAGTTTTACAGTTATAAGTTTGAAATCACCAACCCATCTTGAGCAAGCGTGATGATTAATGCCCAAACCTTCTCCATGTGAGAAAGAGGCCTTTACTCAGTAGTGGGCTTTGATAGGCTGATGATGATGATGATGATGATTAAATGAAACTTATATTTTTCGGATATACTGTCTACTTTATTTTTGTAAAAAACTACATACTCCCGAAGTTTTTGTTATTTTACAGCAACCGTGATCACGGACAGACGAGATCACAAAAGACTGGTTCATTATTGAAATATTTGAATGTATCGTAATGTATTTAATCACTCAATAAGTACTAACGAGAGAGGAGTTTAAAAGTCCTGTAATTATGGATGGCCCCTAATATGAATTTGCAAGTTTTAGTCTGTTGTGAGATTTGTGAGTTGAGGTCTTTGCTCAGCAGTGGGCTATGATAGGATGATGATGTTGATGAATGTCTGTTTGAATAATATTTTATTTACTATTTTCCATTCTTACCTCGATGCAAGTACGAAGATTCAGTAGCTTAGGTAGAAGTGAATTTTGCAATGTTTTCACGAACTGCCTCGCGTTGTGTCTCTCGAGATCTACGTTGCATTCTGTTATTGTGCATCTGGAATGTTTTATTAATAGCAAATATTTTTTGTATATAATAAATCTTGATTAATTTTCTCTTCTTGCCCATTTCTTACCTTCCCAGGTTTAGTGTTTTTGGTATGGCTTTCGTTTTTTCGTTACAGGTTTCCTTTTGTGCAGTTTTTGGTGACGATGGATTATTTGCTCTTGTCGGAAGAAAAACATTATCAACGTCAGAATCAGCTTCAACTTCGCTGCCAGAACTTATATTTTCTGGTCCAGAAGTATCTATAACATACAAATAAAAAACATAGAATCACGTTAATTATTATATTCTTAGTTTAATTATGAGGTTAATCTCACCAGAAGAGTCATCTTTAGTTTCGCTACTTTGCAACACAGCAACGACATCTCTGAAATAATAATCATTGATTGATACATCTTTATATATATAATTCTTCTGTGAGTGTGTATGTCACTGAACTTCTCTCAAACGACTGGACCGATTTTGATGAAATTTTGTGTATGTGTTCAAGGGGATTTGGGAATGGTTTAGATTCACAATTTTGTCCGCTGGACAATGTTTTTTTAATTAATTTTTAATTTATTAGTAGTTGTTGACACAAACGTTTTTTTTTAATATTAGATTTGACAAGTAACTAATATGTCACTCATTCTGTCGCACTTCAAAACACGGAGATTTATGGTTTTTATAGGAACTCCAAAAACATAAATAAAAAACGTAACAGATATTTCTTGATTATAGGGCGATACGAAGTCCGTCGGGTCTTCTAGTTTCGTATATAATCGAATAATTTTACTTCTAAAACATTATTCTTACCTATACGGGCTCGGTAATCTGGCTAATGTCTGATAAGTAAGGGGCCCAGTATAATCAGAATCGTGTAGTTGCGGCCAGTGATTTAGAATCCTATTAGCTACATCATTAGGTATATATTCAATAGATCCCGAACAAAGTTTCTCAAGAGCATCCAAAAGTGAAAATACACATTCAACAGCTGCTGCCACTATATCTGGATTGCCACTTCGTCCACACTCTTCAATGCCGTCCATTATTCTGGAAATACCAATACAATAATTAAGTCAAAATTATTTTTCTATTATTATCCAGTTATAAATCATCGGCGATAGTGCAAAACCGCGTAACTAGCATTGGATAATTCCGTGTATCCACATTGGAAGCAGATTATCAGAAGAAAGTTTAAGTTGAAATATTTTCTAAATGAAGTACTTATAAGGTAATTCTTTCACAATTAGTTATAAATTAAACACAAAATAATTACTAATTGTGCAAAAATTACCTTTAAAGTCGTTAATTTAGAAAATATTTCAACTTAAACTTTCTTCTGATAATCTGCTTCCAATGCATATACTCGGAATTATCCAATGTTATCTAAGATTTTCGCGAGTACTCATTTAAATGAAACTAATATTTTAGGATTTTACTTCGCGTTTTTTATTTTTGATTACGAACTACATACTGCCGACGTTTCGTTTCGGCTACTTTTCAGCAACCGTGATCACGGTAAAAAAAACGCGAAGTAAAATCCGAAAATATTAGTTTCATTTAAATTATCCAATGTTAGTTACTCCGATTTTCACTTTTTCCTTGCAGAAATGATAGTTACAGTCTTATAATCGCCATATCATCGCTATGCCGTTCATCAGTTTTCTTCATGAGCACTAATTGGCAGAGTCTTCGTGGGTTGCAGAGTAGTTCACGAGCACTTCTCAAAGGTTCCACTCGATGTTGTACTGGCGGGTACAGGAGCATACGGTGGTATAAAGCTTCTAGTACCGGTCGTAGGTTCGACGTTGAGCCAACTAAACGTACTAATTGGTTCGCAATACTGGGAAAAACATAATATTTAGTTAGTTGCTAACTATGAGTTCTTAATATAAAGAAGGTTTCTCTGGTTAATGGTGACTATTGATTATTATATAGTATTTTGTTAAGCATTTTGCAGTGGATAAGGGATTTGGAAGTAGTTTAATATATTTATTATTTAAATCGTAAGTCCAAATGAAAATGTTGCGTGGTAGTAATTCGTATAAAATGGTATACCTGTATATAGCTTTGGCTTGTTTGCTATTAAAACTTGGAGCACAAACTAACGCGCCGGAGCCTCTGCCTGAATCATCAACCAGATGGCCTTCGTGTTCCCTAAAACCAAAATAATTATTAAATTCTAATACATAAACAAAATGTATGTATGTAAATATAACAGCAATGTTACCTGGATTTTATATTTTTGTCAACCCTGGGCGTTCCAAGAAAAGAGATGAGAGAAGGACAAAACTTCTGCCAAAGAAATGTTGTAAAGTGTGAATTACCACTCACTCTTTCAGAGAGACTCGACATTAGGGTTAGCAGACAATCCAAAAAGAATAGTGCTAATGGGTTCTGTTTGGGGGTTCTGCAAAAAGAAATAAAGATAAGAAAACATTGGCTTATATCTGTTATTCAAAATAAACAATCATTTACTAACAATTGCGTTTCAGAGAGTCTGCTGCATAGATATTGTATAACTGGTATAACTTCGCTGTAACAACCCACTGCGACTATATGGTTTCTTCCAATGGGCGAACCTTCGGCTAGTAGCTCCTGACATTCTTCATCTAAAATCGTAGACCAGAAAAATATCTAAGTCCCATGGATATAAATAAACAGTAAAATTAGCAAGACAATTGTTATAATAGCATTTATCTTACATGAACTATCTACCACATATAATAAGAACGAATATTTTCGATAGCTTTATTCATTTAATTGAAACTATAAAATATATTTCGGATTATACTACGCGACTTTATTTTTGATTAAAACTACATACTCCCGACGTTTTACCGTTTTTTTCTTTTTTTTTTCCCGATGTCATTCACACCTCGTCTTTCCACGATCACGGTTGCTGAAAAGTAGCCGAAACATCGAGAGTATGTAGTTTTCTACCACATACAGTAACTAACATATCAAATACTAGACTTTTAGTAAAAACTCACCAAGCTGAGCACAATACGCCCTCAACATTTGTGCGGCCGCAGCGCGTGCGGCCGCGGCCACGTGTGGCGACGCGCCTGCAGCCTCGCCACAACGACCACAAGCCCACACACACAGACGACCATTTAAAGTACGGCGAGGTGACAACGCCATTGATAGATACATACGGAAGATTTGGACCTATTTAGACACATATTTAATACCAAAGTTATATAGAAATACGTATCTGCATGTGTAATTTAGTGCTTATATACATAAACATAAATCAACACATGTTTTAGGGAGAAGTTAGAAAAAGAAAATACAGGTCATTTACATTTGTATTCAGTGCGTAATAGTAACATTTGTATTTAGTGCGTAGTGTATACGTGTATATTAAATAGGTAAATATTTACCTGAGTATCGGGAAGCTGATACATAACGGATGTGGTCGCACAGAGCAATTGCGACGGCATCCATAGCGAATCGTCTTCAGGCTCGATGCCGCGGTGAAAACGATCGTCGCGCAATAATTTCTGGAAATTATAAAAAAAATTACAGTATTTTTGGTATGGCAATGAAATAAAAAAATATGTATATATATGCATTTATATAAAATATTAATACATGAAACCCCTGGAGTGCGAATCCGACGAGGCGCGGCCGCTTGGTTTCCAGCGCGATCTGCAGCGGCGACAAGCACGCCCGCCGCAATTCGTATGATGCCCGCCTGCTGCTTTCTTGCAGGCAAAGGACCTCTACACAATTTTTAATATATTATATTGCCGTTTTTTTCACTTTTAATTTATTCTTTTTTTAATCTATCTGTTGCTGTTTCCCTAAGATCACTTTGAAGCTTCACATTTTATAGTAACAAACGTCATTACGTACGGTAGATAATTGCAGATATACAAAATATAAAGAAACGTAATCTCTTGTTTTTTATCCAAAAATATGTATTTAATTACGAAAAATAATACCTAATGCATCCTGACATGATTTTTTCAATGAGTTTAACTTCGGCCCTGTAGCTTCTCTAAATATGTCTTGAAGCAGTTCTTCCATATCAATGGAACACCGGAATCATTTTTATACACTTCGTGTACTCGAGCACAAAAGTGTAAACTTAATATTTCAAATAATTGTCAATGAGGAAACTAAATATGGTGATACAAACTGCGTTTCACAAACGAGTGGGTGTTACGCTTATCGCTGCACGGAGCATGCTCAATCGAAAAATCAATACACTTGTCGGGAGTTTTCTTTTACTCCTTCTACGTAGTTCAACAGGTGGTAGCAATTTTTTGCAGTATGCAAAAACAAGCATTTTCAGCGTTAGTGTTATTGAATAATTGTTTTAATTTTGCCAAATTGTTTCATATTTAGCGCTCAGTAATGTTTTATTGACATTTACAACTTTTATGTCTTGAATCCATATTTTTTTTTACATTTATACAGGTCATATTATACAGATATTGATAATATTATTACATAAATATTTTATTAATTTCTAATTCATTTATCACATTTATAAAAAAAATATTAGTATGAAAGTAATTAATTTTATGAATAAAATTAATTACATAACCGGCTTTTAACGTTGGTTAGCATAGTATAATAAATTTCGTATGTCAAAGGTTCTTGTTATTCTTAATTTATTGTAGAACCTATAAAAATAATATGAAAATTAAATTATGTTTTAATAATTTTTCAACTGTTGAATTTATTTCAAGACAAGTTTATTTATATTTTTTTTTTTAGAAAAATCATATTTTTATATTTATATTCTTTATTCACAGTATTATGAAAATTGCAATAGAAATTGGACTTTTAAAGATATAGAGTAAAAATATACATACGTCAACTGTCATTGCTCTTATACTTTATCGTTGTCAATGTCACTATTTTCATAATAAAATCTTTGAAAATGGTTTCCTGGAGTGCATTGGGCCGATCTTTCGGCACTAACCTTTTTAAAAACAATTTAAAATCAACCAACTTAGTACAAAATGTGAATTTCTCACTCGCAAAAACCTTAAAGGGGGATCATGGACATAAAACTATGGTATTGCAGCCATCAAGGTATAATGACATTAGTGATTATCTAACCAATTTTTGCACGACATTTCAATGATATACATTAGCACCACGTTTAAATTTTAGGTGGCAATGGCACAAATTCAAGGATATGTTCCATTATTACCTAATGGTAGGTTTGATCCCGGTAGGAGCAATCATCTTTTATACCAATGTGTTCATTGGTCCCGCTGAGTTGACTCCGATCCCGGAAGACTATGTGCCCAAACATTGGGAATACCATCGTCATCCTATCACAAGATTTATTGCGCGCTACATCCATAACAACCCTCAGCAGGTAAATACTAAATTTAGTTCTCCTAATAGTACAAATTCCTATATATGTCAAGTGTTTAAGTAAGTGATAAAAATGATTGATATGTCTAATGTGTAAAATGAATTATTCTAATTGAAGATTAATACCAATCAATCCAAATAATATGTCGTCTTCTAGTCTTTCTGTCCAGGTTTATTAAAAAAAATGACAATAACTTTTTGTTAATGGAATCCTAAAAAAATAAATCCTAAATTTTTAATTGTTATCACTAATATTTTCATTTTGATTCAAGATTGTTAACGGACTATTACATTACTCAAGTATGTTACATTTCTGTCACATCCCCAGATCCTTGTGAAGGAATTCAAGGTTTTGGATATCTTATACTAAGTGAACTCGTTTTAACAATGGAAGACTTATAATTTTCAAGCCCTTATTTCAGAGTCTTCATTGTCATGGTATTAGATAAGATTTCAATATATAACTATTGATGTTCAGTAGTTATAGTAATTATTTAACATTGTTATATGTAATTTACATGATATTTCAATTGTAAGGAAACACTTAGCTTAGATACAATTATTACTTAGAATATCAGAATATTAAGTAGAACTATTTAAATATAACTTTATTTGTGGGAAAAAAATATTGTATTGTATATAGTATGGTGAAAATATATACTAAGTGATTGCAAAGTACAATTAGTTATAAAATAGTAAAAGTAAATGTACACATATATTTAGACCAGTAATTTTATGTTGAATAAAACTTGGTATTTAATTCCCTTAGGTTTAAATATCTGAATTAATTAAGTCTATTCATGAGAACTTCTCTTGATAAAGTTGTCATCAACAGAGGTGACATTTAAAGAAAAATCAACCATTTTTCTTAATATTAATACAGTTTCTTATTTCAATTTCCAGGAATATGAAAAATTCATGCATTATATTGATGAGGAGGCCCAGAGGGTGAAACTTAGGGCTCTAGAAAAGCAGGTGACCCAGAAAATGGCTGAGAGGAATGATTATCAAGCATACTACTATCGACCGTTGGTTAACAAATACCTCCGTGTGAACAAACAAGTTGGCGATGAGATTCATGAACGCATCGGTGACAATATTGATGAATAATCACCTTAAAAGATTTTAGTTTATTTAGAAGCTGTATAGAAATGCCATAGATAAGTTTAAAATTTGGATTTTTCTTTTGCAATCGATTTTTATTGTGATTATATTTCGTTTCATTGTTGCAATAAATGATGTGAAATGAGTCTATTTTTTATTCAGTCTGAGATTTTGCTGTATTAATTTGTTTATTAAAATAAATATGGATGGTTTGAAATCTTATCTGTTCTGCTGGATTAGAATATATATTTGGGCTTAATGAACCTTGACTAAAATAAAATTGAGTGAAATTTTGAGTCCCAGAATAGTTTTTTTTATATTCTATATATTGTCCTTGATTTTATTTAGTATTCGTTTAAACTTCCATAATAACAACTGCTTTTACAATTTTTGACATTATTCCTGTATTCACAAAAATAGTTTTTGTAATTGTGACACACTTTTTCTTCATCAGTTAAGGGTCAGACTTAGTTTTACATAACTTAAATTAGGCATAATATCTAATAACGTGTTATTAATGCACTTATTACAATGTGGCCTTACTTTAAATATTAAAATTTTGAAAGATTTGTTTTAGATTCCTCTAAACACAAGATAGAAGTTTTTAATACACATAAAATGTATTGAAGCTTAGCTGCACTTTGTCCTGTAAAGGCGTTATTTATATTTTAAAAACAGTAATGTTTTAAATTGAATATAGTACCTACTCCTATAAAACCAATATTTATGAAAATTGTATTATAGAGCCCTTATATTAGTGAGTGAATATACAAATGCTACACAATCTGTAGATCCAAGTTACTGGAGCATTCCTAAATATGTCAGAAGAATAACTTAATAATTTACCGCTTAGATGATCACCCTTTTCATTATTCGTTCATAGCTATCAGCTGTAATGCGACATGCAATAGCAACGTGATGTTTAAAAAGTTAAATATTCAAAACTATTATTCAGTAGGCACTTAAACTGTTTGTTTATTACAAATTTCCATTAATCTCAATTAGAGTTCAATTTGCAGATGACTTCGGTTAATAATTATATGAACTAAGTACAAAGTTAATAATAGAACGTTTAAATATTTATTGTGATGTTATAAATAAGCATCTAATACAACGAGACTAGTCGTTTATTTATTTTTATTGCTTTACTTGGTCGGTAAGTCAGCCTTGTTAAAATATATTCAAAGAAACCTGAGCAATAAACAGTTGTAAATTTAATTTATTGAATTTAATAGGGTCAGTGTAACTGTACGATTAAATGAAATTATACAAAGACAAAATTATAAAAGATTTATATATTTTATTAAGGTAAACCATATAAAGAATATGAATAGGATCCCAATCTCTGTTCGACGACTAATTTATTTCCTAACAACTTATACACAATTGAGAAAAATGAACTTCTGATAAAAAGAATATATGTACTAAAATTTACCTATTTATTTTCAGTTATTTTAAATCACAAATCTTAGCTTTAAGATGATAAATTATATTAATTATTTAAGATTTCAATTCGTTTAAAATTACGACAAATAAGTAATGTTGCGTGTAAATATTAATTAAAAAATTAGGCTTACCTAAATATTCGTTTGGTTTACATAATATTTAAATTATAGATTTCGCTTGGCCTAATCATTAAAATTCATGTTAACAGAGTGATTGATGATTGAATTACATATGTAAAAAATATGTAAATTAGAAGTCAGTCACGATAAACAGGACGTTACGGTAACAATAGATTTTTTAGTTTACAATTCATTTTCAACATTACACCGAATAAGGAATAAAAGAAACAATGTCGGCAGAATACTGAGATAAAATTAATGTCATTGGTCAAAAGAAATTGCCGGTTCAAGTATTGAAAAATATATAAATATGTAGTTGTACTGCTAAGGATAACTGTTTTAACCTTCATTTTCTTTAAGCTTTAACTCGAATACACGGATGTTGTATGAACATAAGAATATTGCAAGTAAAATAAGAATATTATATGTAATAGTGGCAACACGTGATGTAAGTCTATTTATCTTAAACGACTATAAACAAGTAATAGTGAACAATTTACTACCATGATGTAGTCGAAGTTTGTAAACGGTAAATGCAACAAAAACTTTATTCTAGTGACTTAACACATTTTTTTATTAGGGTTATACTTTTTTTCCAGCCGTATATCAAAGTGGTAATAAAACACTTGTTTAAGTAACATTGTTATTTATTTTACAGGAATTTTCTAACGATTGACAATAGATTCAAATGGAAATCTTATAAAAGAAATTTCAACACTTACCTAATTTCACGCTAACTCAACTTGATATGATTCTACAATTTTAATATTAACATTATGACCTTGCGAATAGTTCGCATTGAAACTGGGTAACGCTAAATCAAATCATTAATTTAGCTACCTGAAGTTTCAGTGGATATGCAATAAGAAGCGTAAATAATTATAGAAATAAAATGTCTAGCTTTCTACTAACAAATTAATTAAGAGACAAGAATCAGTTGGATCAAGTTTTATCAGTTTTAAATAAATTCTTTGGCAAAATTGCACCGAGATCTTAACTACAACTGTTACACACAAATTACAAAACGATATGACATCTTTTTCTCATTCGTTCAGTCTTCACAGTTTTAAGAGTTCCAATTATGACCCAACATTTACACATAACATTGCTTTTATTTATTTTTTATCTTTAAACTATAAACGTATGTCCTGGTAACACTGTATATAATATTTTGAGTAAATATGTTTATAGTAGCAACACTACTACTTCGTAAAATAACCGATATTTCTTTACTTACATTACTATATTTAGAACCTGAATTTTATAGTAAGTAATGGTAATAAATAATAAAATAAAAAAATTGAAATAAAGTCATGCTAATAAATTACAGTACTTTATTAATAATATTCTAGATTTATGAATTTACAATATTCATAAAATTTTATTTTACCGTTCCTGGTCTACTGTCTAAAGACGGCTAGTTTCTAATACATAATAATTTGAATGCTATGCAACATTCTACTCTCATTATTTATTCTTCTCTTTTTCAGCTAAAGCTGCGAGTTTTGCTTCTTTTTTGGCTTTCTTTTTTTCCTCCTTTGCTAACAGCTTAGCTTGCCTTTCTTCTTCTTTCGCTTGTAGCTTGGCTTGTCTCTCTTCTTCTTTAGCTTGTTTCTTAGCTTCCTTCTCTGCTTTAAGTCTTAGTTTTTCTTCCTTCTTCTTCTCAGCTGATTCATTCTTTTTATTATCAACACTCTCGTCTTTTTTAGTTTTATCACCTTGTTTTGTATTTTCTTCGTTCTCTTTCTTCTTCTTATCGTCTTTTTTGGGTTTTGTTTTGGGGTTTTCTTTTTTCTTATCAGTCTCTTTGCTATGATCTCTAGATTTAGGCGGGTCATCTTTATTTGATGGTTTTAGAGGCCGGAAAAAGTGTTGTTTATTTTTTTGCGGGGATGTTTCCAGTTGCGTAACAATTTTCTGAGCACACCTGAAAATTAGAGACATTTCCACATTAAAATCTATTTTATATATCGTTTTATAAAAACTCGTTATTTTATTTTACATTCAACACCTATGATTTTATCTGTAGTCAAAATCTCGATACAATCTTGTACTGCTTGTTTTTCTTGTACAATAAGATCACCTTATTCTACCTTATTCTAGTAGAGGCTGACGCAGCCTGGGCGCTCTCACGACGTCCTTCACGAAATTCCCTTTGGAACTCCCGAATAGGCGGCAATCTACCCGAAGGCTCTCCAACCGGACCACCGGTGTAGCTGTGGACTTGATATTCTTGCAGACGAGCCTATAAAAGAAAATGACCTTATTGAATAATTACAATAGTAATATCTTTAGTTAGGATAAAAATGCAATAATAATTAATGAGGAATATACAATTGGTACAGATTTTACCTTCATGCTGTGATGCTGGGATCGTCTCAATGAGTTTGAAGCCGGTTGTCTCGCTCGTGGAGGGGCGGAGGCTACGGGCACGCGCGGCACAGCGCCCAAACAAGCCCCCCCACACTTTGCTCCACCACATAACTTAGTTGAACAACTATTAGAGCTGGTGTTGCCACTGTTGGACGAGACGGAAGACACGCCTGGAATTAAAATATTTAATTTTTAGAATTAAACTCATTGTGACTCTTATTTTTTTATTTGTTTGTCATCGTCGCTTATTTATATGAGAAATTAGGACTGTAGTTATACTTAAATAGATTGTTAAAGTTTTTGGTATTTACAATGTAATATAAATATTTTGTTCTTTCAAACAACCAATTATTGAACAACAATAAAGAACAGAATTTACATTTTGCTTTTATGAAAACTGGTAGCGTTATTCTAATTAATATATGTAGCTCTATTCCAAAAATGCTGCCAAACATATAAAATATCATATAACATACCAGAAAGCGAAGATTCGCCGCTGGTAACTGAATATAAGGAGGCGGAGGCTGGCACTGATCTGGCGCCCACGGAGTAAGACGACACTGATCCAGGCACGCCCCAGGTCTTACCGCTACCACTCGATACCTAATATATATTAGATATTAATCTTAAAGTTTTGAGGATGTTGCTGTATTATGCATCTAGGTTTTGCTTTCTTAATGATTTACCCCGTATATTTAGTATGTTATACGTCAGTTAAGTCTATTAATGGATATTTTTTTACTTTACTAATGAATGGTCCCTTATATACAGTACGTCGTACGTGAATTATATTTGAAGCCTAATTTCATAAAGTCTAACCTGCCAACTCTTGCTGGTGACAAGTCTCGGTGCTTGTCGCAGCCTGAGTATTTTTGCTCTGCAGATGACGCAGCGTAGAGGAAGCAGTCGTTGGCTGACCGCCATCTGAATGGTTTTCACGAAGCATCTTCTACAGACAACACGATGCCCACACGGAGACGTTTGCATTGTCGCTTTCGCGTTCACACATATAACACACTATATAACAATTAATAATATTATATAAAAACATGTTAATTAAAATAAAAATCAAATTTCTGTCATCCGGATATATCTTTATGCTAAGCGATTTTTCTACTTAATTTCATTTCTTTCATCTCTTTTTAAATACTTTCGAATTCGTTGAAATTTAATTCCCTCTGTGATATTAATACTAAGTAAAAATAATATTTTTATTTTAAATGTCTAGATTTTGAAGTACTCCACAACAGAAACATTTTTTTAAGCAACTTTTAAATGTATCGTACAAAATAAACAGCCTAAGTATAGCACGTTTCTATGTAACTGATTTCAGAAATATGTTTAATAGAATTTAACATAATTAAATCCTTTAAAAAGAAGTCATTGAAGTGTTAATAATAAGATAGTTGTAATTTTCTTATATTTAAATATTTATAAAGAAAAGAACCTACTTCTTCCTCCGGTGACGACGCTAGTTCTGGTTCATTTTCCTCCAGTTTATTGAGCAACTTGTCCTGTGAACAAAAATATTTATATGATGAAAAAGCTGCGCCATCTCACGATATTATATTTCTTCGCCATAGCAAAAGATTATTTTTTACGATACAGCAACTGGGTCATAACACCATTTCCTATGCTCTTTGGGATTTTTAAAGGTGAGCTTCATAAATTACTGGCGACCCTTTTCCTTTGTTTATAAAAACTAAAATAGAATCTAGTTAACCTTTTTTATCTGTTTTTTTTTAATTTCTTGACAAGCATTAATTAAATCATGACAGCATTCTGCCAAGCCTATCTTACTTCTGGACATAAATATTTCTTCTAGTCAATTATAAAACAGTTACCGAGATTTTAAATTTGGAATAAATGTTCTTAAATGTTTTAAAGTAACTCAATTTTATGTCTTTTTCGTAAATTGATATATGTCATATGACAACCTTAACTTTGAAGCCCCGTACGCTTCGATAAATTTTACGCTAGTTTGGAAGCAATGTATATGCGAGGTGTAATCTCATATTGAAAGGTTGATTGTTTATAAGTAATTCATAAATATTATCTTTACAAACATCAACAGTTTAAAAAATTATAGGTTGCTGTAATACACAATAGTTACATGTATACTTAAGAGAAGTTAGTACTTCTTCTTCTAACTTAGTAGTCCCATTACTCTAAAGAGGCCGAATAAGATAGGCTTAAATATTAATAAACAATCAAAATAGTAACTGTAGCAGCAACTAATGTGAAATATTCTATGACATTGTAGGCCTTTAAGAATTTTTGTCTCACAAACAATATTTGCTCTAGTTAATTACATAATCTTATTAAAAAGGTATAAAGTTAAGCAAAAGACCTTATACAAAATCATCATTTTTCAAAACTGAACACATATTTTTTGGTAAAAAAAGTAAAACAAATACAAGTAGTAATTTTTCTTAGTACTATAATATAAAGATAATGTAAACATCGAGAAAAACACAATAAACTATAATTAAAAGACAAATTTAATTCATAGAAAAATGTATTCATACTAAAAAAAACAAACGAATCTAATAAAAGTAACAAATAAAATTCGCCGCTATTATACAACCAATGGATTGACACTATGACAAAACATAAACGTTTGTTTAACTCTCAAATTAAAAACAATATTGTGGAAAACCAAGTCTTTATATTAACATCGGATCAAAACACAATGGGTAATTCCTCTCAATTCCCAACATATTACACAAATTGCTATAAAATTACAACTAGTATTATATCAACGTCTTCTTCTTCGTCACAATACGGACAGCTCTCGAAACTATAACTTTTGTAGGTACTACGGTTCTGTTGCAATTCTATGGATAATCTGCTATCGGATAATGAAATAAAAAACAAATTGCCCAACAGTAAACAGTAAGAACGGTGCGAATTTGAATTCAGTTGATGAATAAATCAGTAAGTAAATAACATCGCGGATCGTTCTAGTCGAAGGTTACAGTAACGTTTGTAATTTATGAAAAAAAATATATATACAAATACGTCCGATAATACATGTATATAATATACAGTTTCCGAGTTTTGATTGCAGTGAGCATGTGTACATTCTTGAGAGAGGCTAGATAAATGAATCATTATGTACGCGGAGATCTTTATATGAGATTGTCATCTGAACTAGCTGTAATATATATATTGGACAGTGTGTAAGAGGCTTTACCATGTATGTAAACCCAGCTTCATGTCGTTTGATGTCCTTCTTTATTGGTAAGCTCATGTAAATCAATAGATATTAGCCCGCATTATAGTAATTAAGAAATTGCTTTAAAACATTATTAGCATTGATAAAATTAGTTTTAGATTATTTGCTAACATTAGTTGCAGTGTTTATAATGTGGTGAGAGCAAAAAAAATTAGGTTAATATATGTGCATATGATTTTAACTATGTGTATGAAATAGTCCTTCGTATAGTTTTTTAGACAGTTTGAGACTATGTTGTTCAGAAATCTGTGTGAATTATACTTTATAGGAACAGGTATTATGAATTATATTCAAAATTTAATAAAAAAATATTTATTTATTTACTATTTGTTAGCTTTTTTCCATATAACTGTATAATAAAGAGTTCGTACTTTCATTAACACCAACAGAAAATTTAGCGACAAAAATATTATCTTGTTCAAATTAATTAATATAGGTTGAACTTGATCTAAATTTTTGTCTCCTATTAAATTAATTTATTAGAATTCTATAAGATAAGAACCAAGATTCATAGAGCGAATTCTGTGGAAAAACATGTTAAACAGTAAAAAATATTACTCAAAATTAAATTATTAGCAGCTAATTTTAAAAGTTTTATGTTTATCTGTACAATCAACTAAAATTAATTTAATATCCAATCATAAATGAGCACAATTATTAAATATGCTAGTAAAATATGAATATTTTATGACTATTATGTTTTTGTGTGTCTATGTTTATGTTATACGCATAATTTAAAAAAGTTTATTTTAACGAAATTCTGTGCGAAGGTAGTCAATTTCAATATAATTTCCATACTTAATAATAATCTTAAAGAAATTGATTACAGAATTGTTTAAAATTATAAACTTTGTTAAATTCAATATCATTGACTATAAACTGCGAACCATTTTCACTTTGTACCAGTATTCTGTCAAAAAAGCGAAAAAAAATCAAAATCATTCAAACGATTTAAATGTCATTTATTTGCTTTTATTTGACAAACGCTTTTACTTTTTTTTATTCAAAAGTATGGTTAAAATTGGAATAATTCTATCCTCCATCATATTTAAGAATTTTTGAACGAAAAGACTTTTTTTTATTTCTAATATTTGCGAAAAAATATTGGCGATAAATGATAATATTATTATTGAATATAAAACAACACACAATGTCACGAACGTACAATCCCAGAAATAATAAATCAATTGTTTAAATGCACTTGTGCAGAAATACGAGCTCATTGTTACCTCAGCTTATCATATATAAAAAAATGTCTGTTACAAATCTACACTCATTTATGTATATATAATTAACGTAATTTATCGAAAGAAATAACAAAATATTCCATAGATGTGATGCAGATTGAATGACAAATGATTCTGTTTCATCAATTTATATGTGGACTGGTTTAAAATAAAGTTCTTTAATAGATTCTAAAACATGCAATGTACCTATTAAATCTGCAAATGGATAAACTATTTGTGATGACGAAACTGTATATAAAGTAAATCAGCCTTTAAGCAATTTCATATAACCGTCTTCTTCATTGAATATTTTCATTAATATTAATATACAGTTATTATTTTTCAGGCATCACTCAAGTATGCTTCATGCCAGCACCCGTCGGTGACTGTAACACGTGTTGTCCTCGCGACGACGATATAGATATACAATATAAACTATATACGAGGTAGTTTATAAACAATTATATTAAAATAATTCTAGTTATTTAATTCCCAAGTAATTTTGCTAGCTGATATAGGAAAATATCAAAGATTTGTTAAATCTCCAATCAATCCATCGTTATTTTATTTTTCAATCGTCATACTATATTATAATGAAGATTTAATATTCATAAATCTTGTCATATTACAGTACTAATGCAGTTTTTTTTTATGTGACGGGCAAAGTTTTTTATGTACTTTGAGAGAAAGAGAAAGCATAATGTAGTAAAGTTGATTTGCTCTCTCTCTCTCTCTCTCATGTGGACATTGTCAATTGTCATTAGGAATTCTGACAAAACCCAATTTGACATTGACAGATCGGTTACTGAAGTTTTCGCATTGCCAGTTTTATATTTTTATATTATGAGTTAAATAGTCAAAATTCTAATTAAAAAGGTTCTATGTAGGATAGACAAATTAGATAGTTTAATATATTGCCTATTTGAACTAATTTCATAGATAGAAATTAATTTTGTTAAAATTTCCCAAACATTGCATTTGCATGGATTGAAAAGGAATTAATTTAGAATTCAATATGTATATGAATTAATAATAAAATTTTGTAATTAGCTCAATAGAATTTTGTAATTTATCGTATCAATATATTAATTATATATGAATTGTCAGTTACGATTGCTGTAGTCAAAAAACTTCTATGTGTAAATTAAACGTAAGGTACCTACTTTCTTTCAAAAATTCTGTATGACGTATTCTTTAGATTTCATCAATATTTCAAAGATTTCAAAATACTCAGCAATGGTACATTCCACACATGCAACTACCAATGAGTATTAATATAACAACAACGACAGACATTAAGAATAATAATTTAAAGCATAATTGTCCTATTTGATTAATCATCAAGAATTATTATCTATACACTTACATAATAATATTAACTTTTTTAATACTTTTCTTACGTCACTTCTATATTAGATTGGCGACGTATAATACATAATTATACAGAATTAATATGATGTATAATAATTTCATTCCAGGTCTAATCCGATCAAATATGACGTCATTTACCCAAGGAATGCTTCTGCTTTGGCCAACACTCGTTTTAACCCAATGAAACCGACTGTCATTTATTTATTCGGTTTCTCCGAAGCAGTGACGGGGCCCAGTTCGACAAATATGAGAAGAGGTTTGTTTTGTATGAAAATATATTAGCGTACAAAGTATGATATATGAATAAGCTAATTACAAATGAGGAAATTGTCATTTGATAAAACTGTCACGAATTTCGTTATATTTTTTAAGTCGATAATTCCGTTTTCAGCTTTTCTGAAACGAGATTTCAACTTTATCAACGTTGATTGGTCGAGACTTATTGTGTTTCCGTGGTGAGTAATGTACAATAATATGTATAACTAATTACGTACAATAATATGTATAACTAATTATATGAATCAACACATTCATTCTGATTTAAACTTATAAGTGCACTTATTGGAGTAATACATCTTGGAAAAGAGATGATAGTCTACCAAATATTGCGAAGAAACTGGTCGAAATTGGTCGATCCTTTTATGAGCTACGTGGCCACAGAAAGACAAGACGTTAAAGTTATAACAACCCTTCTTGGTGCGTTCGGAAGAATAAGATTTCTTAAATCTACTTTTTACTTTACGCGTATTTTCTACGGCAGAGTTGTATAGATAATATATGTATACGCGACAGGCTGTTAAGGCAACAATCCAATTGTTAAAATTTATGCGATGCCATTTGGCTTGCGTGGCGTACATTTTTTATTACATTTACAATTCCACTAAACGATTAGCAAACTAGTGAAAATAATGTTTTTTGTTAATGAAAAGTTTTTTCAAAAGTTTAATGAATAAGTTTGTGAAATATTAGGTATATGTATATTATTATATAATATGAATATAAACTGTGCTATTTCCATTAGTTACGTCCTCGTCTCGAACAAATGAAGTTCAAGAACCACTTACGAGTATCATAAGTACTCGTAATACTTGAGTGGAATGACATGTATTTTTATTGTGAGATAAAATAAATCAAACAGAATATATTCTTAACAATACTCATTAAAAACAATGTTTATATATTTATTTTCAATTTAAACTAATGTACATAATCTTTTATTACGGGATAACAATTAACAATAGAATTCTCGTTCCATCTATGGCTATGAGCACAAAATATGGTGAACTATTGTTATTTTAATTGGAATAACGTTTTATTAATTTATTTTAGAATGTTCGAAGTTCAATGAGTTAAATTTAGTTTGACATTTGCATATCGCATTTCCTAAAATTTTAGATTCCATTGAAACAATAATATTTTATGTAAAAATTCATACAGATGTTAGATTTTAAGGATCAATTATGACATTATCAAACTAGTCTTTCTTTTATGCATATTTCATTTCTTTACTTTTTTTTAAGTTTATTATACAATGTTTATTTGTGGATAGATTTTTTCATGTTTTGTTTTGTAATTTTAGGTATTTGACAGCAGTTCAAAACACAAGGTATATGGGTCACAGGTTGGCGGAGTTTATAAGCTTTCTTAATTCTAATGGTATTCCTGCTGAGTCTCTCTACGTGATAGGCTTTTCGTTAGGAGCAGAGGCTGCTGGCTTCGCTGGGAAATATCTCAGATCCAGCGGTTTAAGGATTGGAAGAATAACAGGTATATTGATAATTAGTGATGGAAATTAATTTCTTTACCGTAAAACTTGACATTAGTTTTACCGGTTTATTCGGTTTTCATTTTTTATTATGATGTTAAGATAATGGATCTTTATATTTTAATTTTTTTTAAGTTGAATTATTTACTGATGTGAATTGGCATAATTATTATATACCTACTTTACTTAATATAAATTATGATCACCATAACATTAAATATATAAGTAATAAAGAATACTTATACCTAATATTGTTACCCAAGTCTTAAGAGTTGTTCGTTTTGTTTGTTGAAAGTTTTATGTTCTCCTTAAGTAGTATTGTGGCTATCAAGATGTTAGTTTGGAAGGAAATCTCGTCAATATCAGATAATGTTAATTCAAAAAGTGAAAGAATATTTACATATAAAAAATGTAGCATAAGCGAATTTTGTCGCTATACCAAACAGTTTTATAGAACAGATTTTTAAAGATATAAAAAATGTAATAAAATATCGATGTTTAATTATGCTATCCTTAAAGAAAGATGTTAAATTAGTTTTATCTTATAAAATATACATATATGTATCTGCCGGGATAACGATTTTGTGCTGTTTCAAACTATAATCATTTTAATAATTACTATTAGATGTTTTCTGATTATTTTAATAGCACAGAATATTAATTATGTTTAAGGTTTGGACCCAGCGTATCCCGGGTATGGTTTTGGTGGCAAGAATGCTCATCTTGCTAAAGGGGATGCCTTGTTTGTTGACATAATACACACAAACCCAGGTCTCTTTGGTTTTCCGACGCCGATAGGGGATGTAGACTTTTATCCCAATCCAGGATTATGGATCCAACCAGGGTGTTGGGTCGATCAGCTTGTTAAAAATAACGAGCTCAGCTATTTTTGTAAGTATGAATTTTCATATATGTAGAGCTAAATTCATACATTTTCTATTATCTCATTGTCATTACAACATTACTTTATGATCCAACATTAAGATTTTAAAGACGGTTGCTATTACACTCATAAAGACTTCTCCTTTTCTTTGAATAGCGACACTTTTATATTTTCCGCGGTATCGTTTATTGTGCAAAGAATTTTGCACTCTCTACTTTAAGGATCTCTTTACAAAAATCTGTTTCACGTGAATTGCATATTTCAGTTCTGAAACACTTTTTTAACTTTAACTTTGAATTCTTTTGAGATTTTTGCATAATAGTCCTGTTGAGACGGAATCAAAGTTCTCCGAAACATTTTAGCTAAGCGAAATATGAAAGCTAATTTGCAAATGTCTTTTATCTTTTGTTCTGAATATTTAATTCAATTTTAATAATGTCCATTATCAAAAGATTATATTAAAGAAAGTTGTGCAAAACATTTTAATAATGAACTATTTATAAGGTAAAGCTATCGGTATTCTTCCTATGGTTCAACCCTAAGACATTTAAATGTCATTTCGGTGCCCTTAAATGTTTTTGGGAACAATGTTTTACTATCACCGAGTCTGAGCGATCGATGCTCTGACGTCATCCGGATTCTGGGAACGAAGGACGAAATTGAATAGCAGGTTATCACAAAATGGCAACGTTTTATTTGGGCTGAAACACGTCACGCAATTGAGCTCATAATATTATACAATCGGGAATATAAAACCTTTTTACTTAACAACCTCCTTTTAGATTTTTTTGTTTTTGTCTATATATCAAATAATTTTTTTAAATACATACTTCCAACAATGAAATTAAAAAAGTACACTTCTATATTATGATGTAACAATAACATTTTCTTGGTACATTAACCTAAATTTACATGATTTGGTCGGTTATATAAGTTATTTGGGGTAACATTGAAACTTAACCTCTTGGCTCGCCTCCAAAGATTGATCGTCGTGTCCAACTGTCAATGGAGATTAGTTATCTCCAGATATACCCTGTTACGATCCCGGAGAAATCATTTGTAACTGAACGCCATTTTGTTTGTGATAATGGTACTCTAAATTCAGATTCAGATGCACTTTCGTTTAATACTAATGATTTAAACGTTTCATTTATGTCAAATATACACAAACATTTTTTTCGAACTGTTCGAAGAAAAGCTTAAGAGGTATAATAACATTATAATTGCTAGTATTTAACTTAAGAATGACGCTGCTGTACTTCAAAATATTATAAGAATATACAGTTGAGATATATGTTATATAATGGAAATTATTTATAACTGGAGACAGTTAATGTATGTATTATACACAGAAAACTTCTCAAGATTCATGGGTTTTTCTGGGACCTGTGCCCTAGGTGTAGATTTAAAGGGGCCCTATTTAATGCGCTTTAAACGCTCGTCTATGCCGTCAACCTACTAGGGCTGCTTTTGAAGTACGTTCTAAGAACAATTGGATGTTAGTTCTGGACAGGAAAAAGACTTTGAGTAGGATGTAGAGAGATTTAGCTTCTATAACTCTCGCTCCCACTTTAACCGCGTACAAATGTACGATGACCCTATTCCTAGTGAGTTCGTTGGTGAGCTCGTAATAAACATTGACTTTGATGGCATGGTCTTTATGGAAGGTGATTTCATAAGTTAACGTAAGCTCTATAAACACAAAGTGCTTTAAAATTCGCGAATACAGGAATAAAAAAGAATAAGTGCTATAATAGTCTGAAGTATATTTCTATCTATCAATATTTCAGATGGCTGTAGCCACAATCGCGCATGGCGGCTGTATGTTGAGTCAGTGATGAATCCTATGGCGTTTCCAGCGACGTTTTGCAGAAATTACACAAACGGCGACCCTTCTTGTACATTTGAAGTTGACGGGTACATGGGCTTCGGAGCCCAGCCAGGGTGAGAGAAACAACATAGCTAGCCATAGTCCAGTGTAACATAACAGTTTACTATAAGAACTTATTATTTTTTTACTACTTAGAAGTCATACCAAATAAATATATAATCAAATTTAGTTTCTGATATAAGGTGACACATTAAATGTCAGTTACATATAACTATAGGTTTGTAGCGCTTTAACTTACGTTAAGGCAATAAAATAGTTTTGAAATATCATTGACATACGAGTACCTATATAAGGATTGATTAAGTTTTTAAGAATTTCGGTGTTTGTTTTAAGATAGGTATAACAATGAAATTCGTACAAATCTGGACTTTTTTTTGCTGTCAAAAAGTATGAGAACTAAAGAATGAAATAAAAATTAAATAATATGAGGAATCAATTTTGGAGGATTAAGTTAGACTTCATTTCCTCCAGAAACAATTTAAGTGTGCAATATTAAAATGAAAATTTTCCAGAGCCGACACAGCATTCTATGATCATATTTTTACTCACGTCAGCAACTTTTTACGTACTGCGGACTTTTTTATTGAATGCAAAATAAATCACACTATTGATGTAGGGATTTAAAATAATTGCTAATATAATTTGTACATGCATTTCCTGTCAAGAGTTGGGACAGTGGAAGAATGTGTAATGCTGCAAGTATTATAAGACTGTCCTTTAACAACACTTTAATATGTATAAGATAGATCAAAATAGATTCTTGTATTGTTTATCTAAATATAATGTCTACGATCTATATTTAGAAGTTCTATGGCATAATGTTTTAATACAAATATTACTCCTTGATTTTTTTGTTTATATATTTACTCTCATTTCAGGTTGCATGGTAGAATGTATCTTACAACAAGAGAAAAGCCGCCGTACTCTTTATACAGCCCATAGCTATAAAGTTGAAAATAGATTTGTATGTATTCAAAGCATGGGTTACCAAATGTATATTATATTCAGTTATTTTGAATATAATCAAGTTTATATTAGATATATGTAGATGTTGGAAACTAATTATATAAACAAATATAAAACATTATAAATAGACAACAGGATTTTCCTTATTCTAATAGCAAACTTGAGACGGACAAACCAAGCATAAGCAAACATTAAATAGCATGCAATAAGCTATCTTAAGGTCTGAATGACATTGTGATTATATGCACTGTATGTACATATATCTCGTGTTAAAAAAGCTGGTGGGTAAAGAATGAAAATGAAAGTACAATATATTGTGTGATGTTATAAGAACAAGAGTATAAATGATGTAAACCAAGGATATAATTTGGTGATTTTAATTATGTATTTGGTTATTTATTTACAAAAGAATCGAACAAAATAAAACAAATAAATAATGAAGGTGAAAAAATTAAGAATAATTTCTTTGAATATTCTGCTTTTTTTTAATTAAGACCTGTTCCGCCTTGAGCTTTAATTACCTAAATATTTTTGTCTATTATTATGAATAATTTTGTGCCTCTAAAAGTATCTTTAAAAAGTTAATTTTTTAAATCTGTACACGATAGCGGTAGATTCGTGATTAGCAAATTATTTGGAAAATCAAGCCCAGTTTAGTTTACGATATCGTTTTCTTTTATGTAAAGTAGAATGATGAGGGGCGAAACGATCAAAAATAATATTTAATATTGAAATAGATTGAAAGAGCATATTGAGCATATAGAAAAATTAAAAGATATTTCAGATTCTTTGCCTCATTTGGGACAACAATCGAGATTTTATTCTCAGATACTAACGAATGCTCTAGCGTACAGTGACCTACAAAAATAATTGGATAAAATTCAAATAGCAGGGTATGAATTCAGGTTGCGTGGAATGTAAAAGGTGAAGTTATTTTTGGCTTGCTCTCATATTCAACTGTCAAAAAACATATTAAACATGAACAAAGAATGAAAAGGCACCATTATGATACAAGTTTAAAACTATGAGGTGTAGTTAATGACATATTTAACACTAGTAGAGGACCAAACATCGTTAAATATTTTTGATTATACGTTACTGAGCAATGATTAGGTGTTTATGAGGGAGTTTATGGCTCATAACCGCAGCTGTTGGGCCAAGACAGACCGATAAGCTCATAAATGATTTAGCACGCCATAATGTGACAAAATGTATTAACCGCACATTGAAGCCATGATGACTACTGAAACGAATTGTGAATCTGTCTCCAAAAATGTTTATTCTTAGATATATTCATATTTTTTATAAGTAAACATATACACATTTTCTATATTTACGCCATATCTTTTATGCATTCTAGCACCCTTGGATACTTTGTTTTCGTGTTGAAGAATTGAGTTTTCTTTCCCATCATTCCCAATTGATATTCGGCGTTCATATAATCGCAGTACCAGTTCATTGCTAAATCCTCGTTGAATTTGAGATTCATAACGGCGTAGTCCATGAGATGTAATTCTAAAGGGCTGAAGTTTCCTGGTAAGTCGACTATTTTACAGATACCTTGGTTGTTCAGTAACACGTTAACGCCGAGAAACCTATCGAGCAAAATATTATAATTAGGATCATCTTTCATGTGTGTCAATAGCTGATATTAAACTCAAAAAGTCCACTTTTTTCTGATAAACTGCAATAAAAAGCATGTACCGTACTTTAAGGTTTCAACAGTTAGACGTATTTAAAAAAACTGCATTATAAATACGACAATTTATTTAAAAAAATAAGACGACATATTGAAGTATTTTCACACAACAATAAATGAACCTCTAATCACTAATTTGATATAGTAAAACAAAGAAACAGTCATATAGATCCATAAGCGCAGTCATCGAAGTGTTGATAATGTCTGGTTGTGAAGAAGTTGACTTGGCAAGAATCAAGATTGGGGGTTGAGCTGCAATATTTAGTGTACCAGTCCATTGTCATTTTTTGTTTTCTATAAAGTTCGTTCAACGCTATATCCACTCGTCTTATCTCAGAATCCGATATCTTAGGAAGACCAACACTTCTTATGATCCCTGTTCCAGTTATCTCCACAACATTCGCGATGAATCTGCAGAGAGAATGTTTATTGAATTCTCTCACGTGACTTTGCCACTTTTTTCTGTCTTCTTAATTCTAACACTAGTGTTGAGATCAAAACCTCTTTATTACAGCACGTTATCGAATATTTAATAGTAACTATTTACTTTAAAAAAATACGAAATTTCCTTATTTGCCAGAATATAATACGAAAACTAAAACGTAGGGTCCATATATTGTTGTGTGGCTTAAAAATGTTGTAATATTAACCTCGCTGGTGAGATAATTTGACACGGATCAGTCTCAACAAAGCCAGATAGTTGTGGCACGTCTCTGCACAGCAAAGCCCAAGCCACTTTAGTGACCAAGCCGGCGAGTGCGTGCGCCTCACTGAGCTCAGCAGATCTAACACAATTGCAATCAGACTTGGCCACGGCTTCTGACGCGCATCGAACTGTATTCGTCATCATTTCAGCGTTTTTCTGCAAAGGTTTATTGGATTTTCAGATATTAGCCTCTTTTCTTTAAAAAAATTTATAATTTGTTGCCCTTTTTCGACATTAATTTTTTCTAAAATACATACATCAAATTTTGTAAAAATATATAATAGTGCTTAGTTAAGAAATGGCCACCTATAAACACTTTTATTTTGTGACGAGTTGATAATGTAACTTTTACTCATCTATTTTAGATTGTTTAAAGAAATGGAATATTTATTGTATAAGTACCTCACTGAATTCAAAGTATTCTAAGGCTTTTGAGAACAGTGGCACTAGGGCATCCCCTTCAGTGCCACCTACACACGGCACATTTACATAACATGGTTCCAAGCTCAGCGCCCTCGCTGCAAGAGTACTAGCTCTCATCTCAGGAACCGCCAAAGATCCTAGTAGTTTACGAGGATTGTACCAACCGGTCTCTTTTAACGTCTAAAATAATATCAAAACTATTATAAACTTCCCGCTAAGTATCTATGAAGTAGACATCAATTCGTTGGGAGACAACTACAGTTGCAATGTTTAATAGTTAAAATGACGCGGTCGCCAACGAACAGCTCGTTGAGTTTTGTAATTTAGTAAAATTATGCTATAAAGTATGACAAAATTTAGAACACTCTTAATCGACCATAAAATTATTAGAGCGAGAATTTTTTGTCGTCTGGTCATTTTATTATTTAAATTTTAATATTCAATAAAACTCTCTAATTATAACGTAATGTAAGTATTTATGTTAGTAGCTAAGCAATCACATTTCTGTCAACACTACTACTTGCTTTCACGATTAAATTGAGTACTTAAGAGTTTTTAGCACAATTAATGGGGCTTATGTTTCGTGGCGTTAAAGATCTTAAGTTCAGCCACGTCACATGTTTATATCCTGGTAATATCTATAAAACTTTTAATGCCCTTAGGGAGCTTATACTGGGAACATCTTGTGGTTGCTTTTGGACATCGACATAGATGGATTTACGGGGACGCTCTAAGTGATTTAAGACATTCTCCACGAAGCTTAAAGTATTAAAAAATACTCTAAATAAAAACAGCCACGTTGTTGTTTAAGTATTTTCTATAAGTTATTTCATAATAAACTTTCATTTCCTAGGAGAAAAGTCAAAAAGTACTAACAATCAAGAGGTTCATGGCAGAAATGTTATGCAAGCAAGAGTCACGCTAATTTCAAAAGACAATTAGTTTAGCTACGAGTAAACGTCACAATCATTTTACGTAACCTCAGCCACCAAAGGCACCATGCAGTCTATCGGCGAGGCGCAGACTAAGATAAATGCATTTGGACATTCTTTGGCGATGGCATCAGCATATTTTTTTACTATCGGTGCTTGATAGTTGAACCTAGTTTCCATAGGCATATCCATACTTAAGTAGCCGCTTTCTAGCATCAAGACAATATCAGAATTCTGGAAATAAACAATTCAGAAATAAATAAAATAAAAAAACTCTCCCTTACATCGGAATGTATAAAAAAATCCTTCAACTATATTTTTGTTGGTCTAATAAAAGTCTCTATTAGAAATTAATTAAATATTAGGATAGTACGAATATATGTATATTGTGTATCTAAATATTATATGAAAACCTATTTCGAAAACTACCAACGGCAATTCTATCAAATATCTATTTCCAATACATTAAAATTTAAACAAAATGATACAACAAAACATTACTAAAGTAATTCAAAACCGTAATATGGGGTTCATGGCACCATAAAAGTTCATTAACTCGCAGCCATAGACGTGGGCTCGGATGTAGCGTGACTAAATCAATACACGCGAAAATTAATTACGTGAACTTTTGAAAGTAATAGACTTATCCCACTTTGGGAAACAGCCTGAATAAACCTGAATGAGTGTGCTCTCATCTTTGTTGAACATCACTTCAGGGAAAAACCCTAAGAGCCTTTGATTGGACCCGTTATTAACGTTTTTGTTTACCCTATAAACGATGGATTAGTATGAAACGAAATTGATTGATGAAAAAAATATTCACAATACACATTAATTGGTTTGTGAAATTATATATAAATTCTCATCGAGTAATACGAAATTGCTTTATTGAATGCAATTCAATATAAACTGAATAACATGCAATATCGGGCCGATATTTATGAAAAACTCTGTTTGAAAATAGCCTTAAATTATTAAGGCATTCCGAAATAGTTCATTTTTGGGTTCTAATACATTTATTGAAAACTATACTAAAAATATCACGAGCAAGTACAATAACCTTGTGATGATGAAACATCAATACATGTATTTAGTATTAATTTTTTTAACAAGCTAAGTAAGTTTGCTACACAAACTTTCTTGTACGAGACACATGAATACGAATTGCATTTAATTAAGAGGAATTTTGGACAGCATTTGGTAGCAGCCAGATACGAGTAGTGAGTGCTCATAAAGATATGCAAATTTATAAATGTAGGCCAAGTAAATTACTTCATTCTATGAATAATATAAAATACAAAGTTCTACAATGAAAAAATATCTTAATAAAATTTTAGTATTAATAATAACATCTACATTGAAACGAGTGAACGGACAAAATTAAAATGCTTTTCAAAGCAAGAGGATAGCTTTCAGGAAACTGATTTATTTTTTAATTTAATAAAAAGCGTTTTTATCCGATTACATGTTCAACAATCTACGATGCACAAGCACTTAAATTAACTAGCAAATTCCTTTAAATAGATTTTCTATTTAATAATCACTAACTATTAGAAAATTTTGCTTTCATCGGAATCAGTCGTATATCTTGAGAATAGTTTAATTGAAAAATAAGGCTTTAACATGAGATTTTTTTTACTTTCAACGTCAAATAGAGTATATACACGACAGGTTTCTTACAAGGTCAATATAAAAAACAAAAGAATATAGAACAATTTCCTAATCACCTGTAAACATCTTTCCAAATCATGACACGCACAGCTATACGCCTGCACCAGACAATTGGTATCAATATGCTGCAAGTCATGAACAACTTGACAAAGCTCACGACAACATCCTGTGCTTGTATCCCTCGCTTCGTACAAACGTAATCTGTAAGCAATCCTTGACATGCACATCTGATACATTGCTTCGTTTATTTAACCTGATCGCTGTGCTAATTGCTTGCCTGTAGACCTTTTGTACCGATGAAAATGATTGCTTTTAAGGTCAACAACGGAATCGGCTTTTATTGGTTCTTAGGCTATAAAGTTGGTAATAAACAATCTGATCCAGGACTGGGTCGTAAAATGCTGGATCCTTTATTACGTACTGTGAATGATCCATATAATGGCATGTCTAAGGCTTCTGTAAAACTTTGATGTACCTATTTGGAATGCCCCGGTGGCCAAGTACTAAGAATGGGGATTTTATGTGCGTGTCGGCATTCCCCATGAAATATCCGTAGCTTAGTTTTAGTTTTGATTTCATATAATGCTTGCTACGTGTAATCATTTTGCTTTATTATTATTTTTTACCACAATTTGTATTCAGATTTTCATTTGAATTCACTTTTACATGAACGGTTTAAACGCTGCAGCTACACAATTTGATTGTTCAATATTCATCGCATGAAGATTTAATTTGTTCTCTGAAAAGTTAAAGGGCACAACCCGAGATGTTTAAGTGAATGAGCGATTTTATCTCCAAGTAGAAACCTCGAGCACACTCCTGACTAAAACGCCAATTGAGTATAAAGAAGCATAAAAGGCAATCTTAGATGATATTTAAATTTTTTAAAGTATTGTTGAAAACTGTTACAATGGATAGAACAATGGCATGTCATTTGGCTTGTATCTTTTCTATTTTGAATTCAACAAAAGGAAATAGTTAATGCACGGCGGTGGAAAACATGGTTCACTCTTTTGTCACTGGAATTTAAAAAATATAATAATATAGTTTACAAGAAAGATATTTGCCGTATAATTTGTTTTCTTACAAATTTTACTAATAAGGTACAATTAAGCGAACAATTGTGTTTATTTAATTTTGCTCTATAAAGATTACATATATGTAATCAATGGACGCGTTCCCAAGTAAAGCTTATTTTGATATATCTAAAATATTCATATATCCCATTGATATTTATACGATGTACGTTAAATATACAACAAATTTCTTAAATGTATTCCCTCTGAAACACCCTACAGCTAGTGGCGATATTATTTGGATGATATACGCTCACTCCATCGGGATTACTTTCAGAGCAACGAATTTATGCGCCAGTTATGTCATCACTTACACGTCCGTAGTTATCAGTAATTCCCGAGATGCCTATTTCATATATAAAGATAAATCTGTGCCTTTTAAGATGTATGTTTGGTTAATTTTTGTTTATATAAAGCTTTATAACGAAGAGGAAATATGTCTTTGAAATCCTTTTTTTGATATGTTATTAGAAAGAAAACTTCACAATAAAAAAAATTAATCTTCTTCTTTCTTTCGTTTCTTTTTTAATGCATTTTTTCTCCTCAAGTACTTGAAGTTGGATACAGAAATGTCTTACAACTATGACAATATTTATTATTCTCAATAGCATAGAAAGACTTTCTTGGATAAAATCTTTTCAAAGAACCGGACTAAAAGTTTGTAATGTTATCTAAGTTGGAAAATGTAAGAGGACGTGGAACACTAGCAAGCGGGATTAAACAATGCCCGAATGGAGTTAGTGTGAAAATATATAATGAACTTAAAAAGACACTATTTTTCTCATCAAAAACCAATATCCTTTCTGTATTCAATACCTGAATATCATTCTATGTATATGTTCAATCGATAATTTTTTTGTACATTTTTACAAAAACTTTCAGAAGTATATTATATGATATAGGCATTTCGAGTTATCATATATAATTCATACGTTAATATATCATAATGTATAAAAAAATACTCATAATATGTATCAATAAACCGTGTTCATAATATTAGTCCGATTTAAGATGCTATGTGTATCATCATCAACTGAATGGTGAGACGGATACGTTTAGCTCACAGGAGCCGTCATTTTAATTTTGATTATAAAAAAGCATTAAAAGCAATAACAGTTCAATAGTGTCACAAAATATCACTCATGTATGTTCGACTTGAAGTAAAACATGTTTATTTCGTATCCTGAAAGTTATTAGCATTGCTATTTACATTTGCAATGATAACTCTTGCAACTAGACTAATAAAATTTAATTGCAATTGTATCGATACTATTGGTTTTGGTTTCAATTAAACCCTATTAATTAACATGTTGAATCATTATACTTTGACCAAAATCCCATATCATACGAACTATTTTGTGTATGGAGTATAAAGCTAACTCACTTCTTTATACAAGGACACTGCTTTAACAACAGTGCCACATACTGTCCTATACTCGTATCAGCCCCGAGCACCGCCACTTGCATCCCGGACCGAGTCTCCTGTATGCAAGGTTTCTCCTCAACGGGCGCAGGTAACGCCTTCGGTTCCGGTACCTCGATTTCTTTACAGACACACTTGTCGTCTTGGAGGTAACGAAAGGGCGCTGGGAGATTTATTACATTAGAAACTATGCTTAATTTTCTCTGTAATATTGTACTCAATAATGAAGAACTTACTCCCGAAGTTCGTTCCACCATCTATTAGCCTCAGTTTGATCCTGTGCAGGATGCCTTCTTTCTTTTTACCCCTTCTATCACACGGAATGGGACAAACAGGGTCTTTTTCAAGCGGAATATCGGCACAGGCTCTTCGGCAACCATCATCCTTTTTCTTGGCATAACCACGATGTGACAGGCCGTGGGTCATTAAAACTTTGGAAGAACCGAGGACGCTCTCCCAAAGATTTATCGCTTTAGAAACTACGTTAGTCGAAAACATTATATGTTATGAATTGCAGAGTTTTTTGGTATATGTCACTTTAAGATTTTTAAAATTTTATTTTGTAAATTTTGGATGTTAAGCCATTTCAAAATAATTTATAAGTTAGGTATGTCAAACTTTAATATACGAGTATTGTCATTCTTTACACTTTCTATCATTGCCAAAAAATATTTTTCAATTTAGAACAGTACAACTAAAGGAGGTGTTATTATTGTTAGTTTACTATGGCGGGGCACTTGTAGTGTAGTCGTTAAACTAATACTGGTCGCCTCTTGATGTATATGAGCGGAAGAAAGACAGACAAACACATATCAATCTAGCTCAGTGAGTCAAAGATCACTACGACAATTTGTGATTTAATTGCATTTCCCAGTTTATTTCTAAACTTTTAGTCAGGTAAATACTTTCCAACTTATTTATAGTCAACTATTGAAAGAGAAAGCGAAGGCGGGCAATGTTCTACCTTGATACTGCCGTATTTATAGATCACTGTCAATGTATCTCTAGAAACTGTTTAAGTCAGAGACATAAGGTAGATTTTAACTGCAACCTTCGAAAATGGAGAAAAATAAATCATTTATAACCTTAATTTATTTGATATTTTAATAAGCTAACATTTATTAGTGTTATGACAACAAGAGAGGGATTAAAATGTAATGCAATATTTTTCATTTATATTTAAGCAAGAACAGAAAACAGCGAGTATTTAAATTAACTTCTTTATTCACAATTACAAAACACTCATAAGATTACTCCATTATTCCGTATAAGATTAATTAAAAACTGCTTTCTAGAAAATGAATGCAATAGTTCTTTCTCGAGAAGTCAGCGTAATGTGTATTTAATTTTCTTTCAGAAAAACAATTAAGTTTGCGAGAATAGAGGGTTGCATTGTAAAAAGATTTCATCTTATACTTCAGTTAGAATTTATGGAATGCATGAGAAAATTTAATGGTATTTTATAGTTTAAATATAAATTTTATTTGAACAAACCTAATACTGCCGGATTTCTACGCGTACATTCTTGTCTTGTCTGTCCGTGATCACGGTTGCTGCAAAGTAACCCAACGTCAGTATTTAGTTTAAAATAATAAAAATCTTAGTAGTCCTAAAATATTAGTTTTGAAAATGAATACTAGCGAAAGTCTTAGATCTCATTATACATATGACGTGTTGTTATTATGAGCCGTGCTTTCTTTTAGCTATATTTAGATAAGTCTTTAGAACAAACTTCCAACTTGTCAGGGTCTGAGCTAGTAACAACGTCATAACGAGATGACCAATTACAGTTGAGTAGCTCGACCCGATTTGTACTGGAGAATATAATTTACATCCGATCTAAATGAAAAAAATATTAAAAGTTGTTGTAGAGAACTTGTTTGTGGAAAATAAAATGGAATGCTTGTTTAAAGTTTGTGATTGGCGAAGTCTGAATATTTGTTAGCCATACTTTTATTACTTTGATAATGATCGATCGTTTATCAATGAATTTGTACATTTTTTCCATAGAAGTATTAAAATATTTGCTACTTCCATAATATAAGTGGTACTACATTATTATTACATAAGTTTTGTGAGTCATACTAGAGCTTTATATTTGTACTGGTAAGCAAAACTCAAATTATATGGTCGATGTTTTAACAATGAGAAACCTGTGTATGTGTGAAGCTTTGAATGTGTGTGTGTTGTTTGGATTCCAACGATTTATCCTTGTCGGTGATTCGTCATGTCTAAAAGGAAATCGCGTGCCGAATATCATAAAACCTCGAGGAAAACTCAGACAGCCTGTTCCTATTAGGATCCGAACTTAATGGTCAAGTTAGCAAACAGCATTTACATTTTTATTTATGATTTTATCCTGTTTCATACATGTTTGCTGCTTTTACATAAGCCACTTATAAAGTCAAATATTTTAACACAAATTCTCTACAGAAATATTATTATATTACAGAGCTGTGTAATTTTTATATTGAGGTTTAATACGACGTTAATATGACGCTGCAGCGGGTGAACCCTGACGTTGATCAAATAGGGCGTGAAATATCAGTAAATGTCACGACGTGATCTATTTATTTTTTAACATTTAACTTTTACTTCATTGTTTTCCACTACTTTTATTGAATGGTAATCAATTTTGAGATTTTAATGCTTATGTTATATTGTCTAAAGGTTTTTTTATATGATTTATAATGCTTAAAAACTGCTTTTATAAGAATTGAGACAGATATTGTTTTACCTTCTAATATTTTAGTATAATATACATATATACCTGTCCTTTTTATTTACACATACTTTCATTTAGATTTGATATTATGCTTATATGTAAATAAGCTTTTAATAATAAGAATAATTTCGCACAAAAAACATAATTTAGTTTTTCCCTATATTACCAAATATTAAAATCAAATGTTTTTAAGAAATACTAACATTAAGTTGAAATATAAATAAAGATTAAAAATTAATTTTAATTATTTGAAAGCATTTGTTTCTTCAAATGTAGGTCACCGAAGTTTGCAATTTGCGAAGCAAAAATACGCAAGTTTCAAATAAATTTAAAATTTCTGCTGGCAAAGCATTTCAAAGTCCTGGTGCAAGTGTTTGTCTAGCCACTGAAACTGGATTTAACTCAAATCTGTGCTGTATTTTAATATTACGTTTTATTCTAAAATATATGAATGGAAAAAATAAGCGAAAATATCTCGTTAAGATTTTACCTTAACTCAATATTTTTTTGTAATTAAAATTTAAAATCTCGGTATATATTTTGTACAGCAGGTTACTTATAATAAGAAATTTTAATAAATACGCCTGGTTAGTCAAAATTGGTATACAATAGGATGGAGTGTAACAGAATGTTTTTGTACTACCCTTTCAGGTAATTCTGAAAAAAATTAATAGTCTTAGTAAAAAATAATTGTTTGGAATAGATGGTCCTTAACGAAGGAACGACGCGGTTTTCTTGGGTGCCACTAGTCTTCTTAATTCTGTTTCTATACTTGTATTAGGTTAGGTTAGTTTTTGTGTTGAATAAGATCTACGTATACTCACAATTTTGGTGTTGAGGTGCATAAGCTCTCGCTCGGTGACACGTCGACGAGCGGTCTCCATTTGCTGCTGACGGTACTGATTGTATTTATACAGCAGATACATTCCGGGTAGAGCCAACACCACGAAGGGGCGCATCAGACTTGAGGATGACGAGCGCTGAGGCATTTTCTCATTAACATCTCACCCGTTTATAAATTAACACTTTTTTTCCCGACGGTACATGATGAGATCGATTCGTCATCTAACGCTACAGAGAACATCTTGCACGAATATAAGAGTTATATTAAAATGGAAGATTCTTCTTAATATTTAAACACTGCAGCGTCAGTGGGGTTTTATAATTAAAGATTATTGCTTTAATAATAGACCTTAGTTAACGAGAAAAATTATTCCACAGGCATACTCCAATCTGAAACAAATAAAAATGTTTTGGTAATGAATTCTCAATAATTTTAAAAAGATATGTGAAATGGTTATGTCATATCAAGTAAAAATTAATTAAGCATAGTCCAGATGTATGCTTTTGAATTTGATGCACACGACTTCCTCAAAATTTAATTAAAAACACGAATTTTAGGTTAGAATGAAAGTTCTGCTTCAAAGCAATTTTTGGCGAAAATTAGAATGTTTTTAGTGCGAATGTGTGATAACAATTATAATAAACGCGTATAAAACACAGTAACAATGTAATTAGAGATCGAAAAATCCCTTAACTTGACAAAGGGACCGCAAATAAGTTCCCTATAACTTTCTTGTTCCAATTTAATTTAGCTTACATTGTTTAAGCATATCGTCAAAATTCTTATCATACCACTATGTTTATATGTTTACTCAAGGGCAGACGAACTGCAAAACAATAAGAAACTACCAAGTAATTCAAATAAATCTATAAATATGGAATAACATACATACATACGTAGTGTGTATCTCATAAATTTATTTCCAATAGCTAGACTACCAAGACAATGTTTTTACTCGAAGTATTACTCGGAAAACAGTTGTTAGTTTCAGTTTTACATTTAATAACTTAATTTTTTTATGACAGAGAAGAAATTATATGGTTGGGTTATATATAGGTATATATAGATTAAAAGTTCAGTAACTGATGGTTATAATAATAATTATAATCAGAAGATAAGTTTTATACTATTGTTTTTTCATATAATGGAAATTTAATGTACACATATTATGTTAAAAGTAAATATAAGGATTATTTGCATAAGTTTATAATTTTATTTACATATATTATATAATTTAAAGATGTCTATTTGCTGTTGATTATTAAAATAACTTAATGTAGAAGTATATGTTTGCAATTCGAATAAGACATATTGCTATTTATCAAATTTATTTTTATTATATAATTAACTGTCATACGTTAATTCTTCTTCTACCTGGCAATTTCCCAGCTATAGCCAGGCTCTGCCTTACATGTTGTGAATAGTTTTACATATTTGTTTTTACGACCGGCCGCCTGCCTGACATCAACCCTCTTTTGGGAATCAACATTAATCAGTGTTGTCTAAAAAGTCTTAGAAAGTACATATGACTCGGAAAAATCACATTGGTACTTGCCCGGGCCAGGATCGAACCCGCGCCCTCGGCAACGAGGGGCGGGCCCTTTAACCACTAGGCCACCACTGACTTATACGTTAATTGTGAGTTAGTAAATCTTGATCGTATCCAAAACTTTCTATATTAATTTAATGACGCCACCAAAACAAATTGTAAAACATTGATCTATTTAAGCTTAACAGATTAAATAGATCAATGTGTAATCTGCCTAACACAGACTAAACCATGTCGAAGGAATCGATTTAGGCGGTAAACTAGTTTTTAACAAAATTGCCCTCTCAAGCAGAGGTAATTGCTTAAGCCCAAAATAGAGGTAATTGGCGCTGGAATGAGTTGATTTATAGCTTCCTCCGGGGAGCGACGATGGCTGATGCCACAATATATTAAGAATCTGATCTATTGGATGATTTTCTCGGCTATATTAAAAGATTAATATGATGGATGAGATATTAGTTGGAGTACATATGTGCTAATTTCATCATGAAACGCAAAAAAAGTCGAGAAAATATGCAAAATTTTTTTGCTAGAGATCTTAATAGAAAATATTTAATTTTCGTTACGGATTCTTTTTTTTTAATGTCATAATAAAATTCTTTGCAGCCAGACAGTGTTGTGGAGATTTTTTTTTTCTTCAAATTAATGACGGACGCTTTTAATGGACTGAAGTGTTTTTAAATGCAGATTAAAAATTCATTTTTATTCTGTTTATATAGATTTTATATTTTTTAAATGTCGAAGGAATGAATTGTTTTGGAGGGTATGGAAGTATTATGATGAATTTATATCAATAGTTTCCAAGGTATTGAATCTATGACAGCTATTTAGTTAGGTAAGTGTAGATGTAAGTATCAGTATAACCCTGTACCAGCTCACCATCACGTATTGATGTGAACGGATCGCGACACGGTATACTACAGTCAATAAAATATCCAAATATTGGTAATAACGAAACTATTATTCATATTAAGACTTACAGTACAATGCTAAGAAAAAAAAATAACAACAGTTTGACTAGTACTATTTTTAATAGAGATATTATTGGATTTTTTAATGAAATTAAAATAGTTTTGTTTCGTTCTTAACCGTTCTAGAATTTTATATAACATTTTATCATCAATAACTTATCTGTAAAACATGCATATGCACACTAAGATAATTAGGGAACAAAATATTATGATTTGGACTGAAATTAATTAGTATTTAATGATTTTCAGTGTATTAACAAATGAAGGGTCTCATATTACTCAATGTAGTTTCTGTTACAAGAAATATGTACTCTATGTAATAGCTTAAAAAGGCACATTTTGGAATAATACAAAATTTTGCTCTTTTAATTCTGCCTATCTATTGATATGGTTTTGAATTCACAACTAAGATAACATTTCATATAACCAAATAATAATGAGTGTTTTTCGATCTAATATGAAATATCTTTATACTTCTAGTGATTAATTTTATATACAATTCTTTGAAATTGTTAATCAAAAGGATTTTTTAATCAATTCAAGTTAAAAAATCACCTTGTCCTCGATAATCGTGAAATGTTACTTTGGTTAAATTAAAGTGGGTCAGATTAATGTAGTAATTAATTGTAAAGCTTCTAATTCTTTACAATAAAAAAATCATTATAATTTAACAATTAAAGGAGTTTATTTTTTTAACAGGAAAATATAATTTTATTGAAAAACAAAACGAAAAAAGAAAATTATTAAAAAGTATTGATTTTTGAAGGGTTCCAATTCATCTTTATCTCTTATTTATTAATAAAATTTTATGAATTCAATGTTATAATAAAAAAGATTTTTCATCAAAGGTACACAAGTCAGTGGTGGCCTAGTGATTAAAGGCCCGCCTCTCATGCACGAGGATGCGGATTCGATCCCGGCAAGTACCAATGTGATTTTCCCGAGTCATATGTCCTTTCTAAGAGTATTTAGACACTACTAAAAGACGGTGAAAGAAAACATCGTGAGCAAACCTAGACTTATAATTTCACAATTATAAGTTTGAAATCACCAACCCGTCTTGAGCAAGCGTGGTGATTAATGCTCAAACCTTCTCCATATGAGAAAGAGGCCTTTGCTCAGTAGTGGGCTCTGATAGGACGATAACGAGGTACACAAAATGAAGATCAAACAGCTATACCTAAATATATATATATAGTTCTACTATACATGTAAATGTCACTGAACTCCTTTTAAAGGTTGGACCGATTTGAATGATTTTTTTCTATTTGCATTTGGGTGGCGCCCCAGATGGTTTAGACTCACAAATCAGTCCGGCAGATGACGTAGCATTCGGTATCTAGGTTGTTTAAAATGAAGGCTGTAACGTAGATTACTATATGTATGTACTATATATGTTACAAGGACGAAGTCACGAGCAAGAATTAGTATTTAAATATTTTAATTATTAGGAGCTGATTCTGTCTTCATAAATTAGTCGACTTGTATGTTTTACGTATGGATTCAAGAAAAAACAAATTCCAAATTTTAATCCACAGTCCTATAATATTGTACAGATTTATAATGACTTGGTTATGGATTAATAATATTTTGACTGTAACTATTTCTGTGTTAAATCTTGTATATCAAAAAATAGTAATAAATAATAATCATATATTTATTATTTTCTTTTTAATATATTTTTGCTAAAGCAATAATTGATTGATATGAAATACGAGCGAGACAAGCTTAGTAAATCTAAAAAGTAATTTTTTATATGTATATTTTATTCTTTACTTATATCCATAGTTTTTCTGATAGTAACGAAGTACTGAAATTTGTAATTCCATCGATTGTTTTGCTTGCGAGCGTTTTTTTAAAGTGAACGTCACGTATCTGGAGCAAATAAATAATGGTCGCTATTAGTGAACTGGGTCTGTGGTTAATAACAGTTTACTGAGGTTATCGACAAGACCCATATCGATTCAAACATATCTTATGGTTTGACTTAATAAAAACTCCTTTTAAACATTTAGTTTTCCCGCGCTTTTGAAATGTCATTTATAGATAGGTACCAACTATACATTTAGGCTGACGAAATGTCATGCAATTTTTTAAAATTAAAATCTAGAGCAAGGAAAGAATATATGTATATAAAAAATATTATAAATATTTATACATATTATAAGGTTAAACACATAAATAGAGATGAATTTTTATCTGAATTGAATTCTTCCGTAGATACGAGAACCCACTCAGGAAAGAAAGGCTCATCATGGTCTAGAGGGTAATCACAGGTTCAGTCGCGTTTTATATGCCAATGTGGCCTCAATTCCGTGATTACAAAGTGCTTATATTTCCATAAAAAGTTCTTTCACAGTTGGAAAAATAATTCGATGAATTTCTCTTATCAGCGCAGTTTTATCTTTAATCAACGTTTTTTCGAAGCATATTATAAATATGGCAGAATATAGTATAGAATTGTACCTACATTTTAAAATTAGTTCAATAACTTAAAGATGATATAAAGAAAAAAAATCCTACAAACATTTTAGTAGTTCTAGACTAGGAAATAAAACAAAATAAAAAAAAAACATCCCATGCGCTTTTGTTGTGGCAACACAAAACTATGCAGTAACATGAACA